TATTTTCATTGCTACTTCCATAACTGTAACTTTGCCACTGTTATGAATTGTAATGTAAATATCCGATATGCAGGATGTATTATCATTCACTGGACAAAATTTGGCACAAATGCCCAATACGCCCAAATTTGATTACTGGTGGGGCTGGGGGGGGGGGGGGATTGATTTTGTCATTTGGGAGTTGTAGTTGCGGGGATTTATAGTTAACCCACAATCAAAGAGCATTCTGAACTCTACCAATGATGGAATTGAGCCAAACTTGGCACACAGAACACCCATGAACAAGAGAAAATACTGGAAGTGTTTGGTGGACATTGACCTTGAGTTTCGGAGTTGTAGTTCACTTACATCCTGAGAGCACTGTGGACTCAAACAATGATGGAACTGGACCAAACTTGGCAAAAATACTCAATATGCCCAAATGCGTACACTGGTGGAGTTTGGGGAAAATAGACCTTGACATTTGGGAGTTGTAGTTCCTGGGATTTATAGTTCATCTACAATCAAAGTGCAGTCTCAACCCCACCAATGATAGAATTGGGCCAGACTTCTGACACAGAACCCCCTTGACCAACAGAAAATACTGTGTTTTCTGATGGTCTTTGATGACCCCTCTGACACCCCCTCACAACCCCCAGGTTGAGAAACACTGAGTTAAGGCTATTTTAAATACAGGGTGTCTCAAGAGCGGCCATACATGTGAAACTGGATCTAAATGTACCTTTATTTGCAAAATATTTATTACAGAGTTTTACAAAATGTTAATAAAATATTATCTATGTGAAAGTATAAGAATATATATACATATTGAAAATATGTAATATAATAGATTTTGGTATTCATGATGAGTTCTGCAAACAAACCCAAGCAGATACCAATTAACACTCTGTATTTAACTTTGTTTTGCCCTGGATCCCGTATGGTGAGACTTCTGCAACAAACACAACAACTAGGGGCCCTCCCACACAGCCCTTTATCCCAGGATATCAAGGCAAAAAATCCCACATTATCTGAGTGTGGAGTCAGATAACCCAGTTCAAAGCAGATATTGTGGGATTTTCTGCCTTGACATTCTGGGATATAGGGCTGTATGGAAGGGCCCTTCAATTCATCTCCCAGCCATTTACCTGCTGGCACTCCCCACCTGAGCTGCTATTTGCCCCCAAAGCATTCCACTTATTACCCTCTTTACCAAACCTCAAAGGGCTGGCAGAAATACAGGGATTACATTCATGACATGTCCATGTTCACCTTCAATCAGTTCTATTGTTCAAGCATGTATAACTCAATCCAAGGGTTTCCCTGAAGATCAAAGCACAGGCGTGAAAACAATCAGAAGTATCTGCAACTTCAAAGGTGCCGTGTGTTAGTAAGAAAACACTGATGGAAATTATACTTTGAATTATACTAGGCAGCAAAGAAGCATTGGCATTTTATTGTCTTATGCCCAAGGGGCATTTCTTCAAACAGATTTGGTGAGATAAAATAAACAGAACTAAAAAAAAGCCACTGCTTGAACTACTTATTTGAACTATGTTTTTAAGTGATTTGTTTTGGTAAATGGCATTGCATTTTGAGAGAAGAGATATATACTTAGACTGGTGGGAAACATAAATAAACAGAGATTTGAATTTGGCTTTTTACTGTTTCATATTAATATATTATTTTAGGGGTTTTAAGACAAAATATTATCTGAATTCCCAAGTTAAAAGTTTCATATAATGCTTCCCTTCCACTCCATGATAACTAAAAGCTGCGCCACCGGGGGCTCCTAATAGTAATAATAAGTAAAGGTAAATCAAATCAGGGATTTTTAGGTTCTTGTGGGGTTTTTTTCGGGCTATAAGGCCATGTTCTAGAGGCATTTCTCCTGACGTTTCGCCTGCATCTATGGCAAGCATCCTCAGATGTAGTGAGGTCTGTTGGAATTAGGACAATGGGTTTATATATCTGTGGAATGGTTGGGGTGGGGCAAAGAGCTCTTCTCTGCTGGAGCTAGGTGTGAATGTTTCAACTGACTACCTTCATTAGCGTTTGAAGGCCTGCCTGAGCCTGGGAAAATCTTTTGTTGAGAGGTGTTAAGATGTGCCCGGTTGTTTCCTCTCTGCTGTTTTGCTGGTGGTCCCGGATGTATACGTGATTTTTTTTCCTTGTCAGGAGTGACTTGAGAAACTGCAAGTCGCTTCTGGTGTGAGAGAATTGGCCGTCTGCAAGGACGTTGCCCATGGGATGCCCGGATGTATACGTGATTTTTTTTCCTTGTCAGGAGTAACTTGAGAAACTGCAAGTTGCTTCTGGTGTGAGAGAATTGGCCGTCTGCAAGGACATTGCCCAGGAGAAGCCCAGATGATTTTTGATGTATTATTATCCTTGTGGGAGGCTTCTCTCATGTCCGGGCATGAAGAGCTGGAGCTGACAGAGGGAGCTCATCCACCTTTCCCTGGATTCGAACCTGTGACCTGTCAATCTTCAGTCCTGCCGGTACAGGGGTTTAACCCACTGCGCCACCGGGGGCTCCTAATAGTAATAATAAGTAAAGGTAAAGGTTTCCCTTTGATATTAAGTCATTTCCTGCGTGAATGTGTGTATTTGAAGAGAGAGTTGAAGAAATATAGTAAAAATAACACACACATACGTGTTCTCCATAGCTTCCTTTCAATACAGACATTGGCATATTCACACTTGTGTGTGTGTGTGTGTGTGTGTGTGTGTGTGTGTGTGTGTGCATACAATACATCACCCCCCAAAGAAAGCAGGAGACAAACAGGGAGGGAAGGTTGGCCACAGTAATGCGTGGCAGGTACAGCTAGTCTATATAAATAAAAATGTAATGTTCGTTTGTGGGATTAACAGAACTCAAAAAGCACTGGACAAATTGACACCAGATTTGGACACAAGACACCTAACAACCCAATGTATGTCCTTCACTCATAAATACACTGAAAAACACAGCAGAAGGAACTTAAAATGTCCCAAAAAGGCGAAATGATGAAAAGCTAAATGACAATACAGAAAAAAGGGAAGAAAGAGGGAGCGAAAGGGAGAGAGAAAAGAAAGAAAAGAAAGAAAGAAAGAAAGAAAGAAAGAGGGAGGGAAAGAAAGAAGGAAAGGGAAAAGGAAGCATGGAAGCAAAGAGAGAAGGAAGGAATAAAACAGGGAGAGAAGCAAGAGAGAAAGAGGAAGGGAAAGAAAAAGGGGAAAGGAAGGAAGGTTAGAGAAGGAAGGAAGGAGAGAAGGAAAGAAAGAAGGGAAAGAAGGAAGGAAAGAGGGAGCAAAGGAAGGGGGGAAGATGTAGAGAAAGAGGGAGGGAAGGAAAGAGAGAAGGAAGAAAAGAGAGACAGCAGAAGAGAAAGAACAAGGAGGAAGAAAGGAAAGAGATAGAGAAGGAAGGAAGAAGAGAAGGAAAGACAGGAAGGAAGGAAGGAAAGAAGGAGTGAAGGAAGGAGGGAAAGAAGGAGAGAAAGAGGGAAGGTTGGCCACAGCAACACGTGGTGGGTATTGTGGATGATGTGCCTTGATATACTGGGTTATATAGCTGTGTGGATGCAGGGAAGTCATGCTCCCCATGCTCTATTCTGACTTGGTTACACCACACCTGGAATATTGTATCCAATTCTGGGCACCACAATTGAAGAGAGATATTGACAAGCTGGAATGTGTCCAGAGGAGGGAGACTAAAATGATCAAGGGTCTGGAGAACAAGCCCTATGAGGAGCGGCTTAAAGAGCTGGGCATGTTTAGCCTGAAGAAGAGACATGATAGCCATGTATAAATATGTGAGAGGAAGTCATAGGGAGGAGGGAACAATGGCTTCAAACCACAAGAAAGGAGATTCCATCTGAACATTAGGAAGAACTTCCTATGAGAGCTGTTCAGCAGTGGAACTCTCTGCCCCAGAGTGTGGTGGAGGCTCCTTCTTTGGAGGCTTTTAAACAGAGGCTGGATGGCCATCTGTCGGGGGTGCTTTGAATGCAATTTTCCTGCTTCTTGGCAGAATGGGGTTGGACTGGATGGCCTATGAGGTCTCTTCCAACTCTTTGATTCTATGGAAAGGCCCCTTCTACACTGCCTTATATCCCAGGCTCTGATCCCAGAGCCCCCGGTGGTGCAATGGGTTAAACCACTGTGCCAGCAGGACTGGAGACCGACAGGTCGCAGGTTAGAATCCGGGGAGAGCGCGGATGAGCTCCCTCTATCAGCTCCAGCTCCTCATGCGGGGACATGAGAGAAGCCTCCCACAAGGATGATAAAACATCAAAACATCCGGGCATCCCCTGGGCAACATCCTTGCAGACAGCCAATTCTCTCACACCAGAAGCAACTTGCAATTTCTCAAGTCGCTCCTGACACAACAAAAAATAAAATAAAATCCCAGATTATCTGCTTTAAACTTGGTTATATGAGTCTCCACTACCGGATAATCTGGGATCAGATGCTGGGCTATAGGAGCAGTGTCGAAGGGGCCTAAATTACTCTTGAAAGATGCCCTTCCAACCTATGTTTAGGAACCATACACCAATGTATTGTAGAAGGCTTTCATGGCAGGAATCACTGGGTTGTTGTAGGTTTTTTCGGGCTATATGGCCTCACTACCTCTGAGGATGCTTGCCACAGATGCAGACGAAACGTCAGGAGAGAATGCCTCTAGAACATGGCAACGTAGCCCAAAAAACCCTACAACAACCCATAGACCAGTGGTTCTCAACTTGTGTGTTCCCAGATGTTTGGGCCTATAACTCCCAGAAATCCCATCCAGTTTACCAGCTGTTAGGATTTCTGGGAATTGCAGTGCAAAACATTTGGGGATCCACAGGTTGAGAACCACTGGCATAAACAAATGTAGGGAATTCTGCAAGCTGTTAAGTGATAACTTCAGGCCCACCAATAGGTGGCTTGCCCTTTTAAGAATACCACCGCATGGCATTGCCCTTTTAAGAGAATGAATGAAGCGCTGGAATAAGGCAACAGAAAGGAAAACTATCGCGAGAATTGGCGCACGTAGTCTCGCGAGGGGTGGGTTTCGGCGGAAAATGGCGGCGGCGGCGGGGGAAGCTGTGGCTCCGGCCACTGAAGAGGCTGGAGAAGGAGAACCGGCTCCTCCGCCGGCTGCGGAATCGATGGCCGGGGAAACCTCGGGGCCAACCGAGCAGGGAGCCGGAGACTCCGAGACCGGGTGAGGCCTAGGCGGGTTGCCGAGAGCCAGCGGGCCCGCAAGAGACAGCTTCGTTCCTATTGGCTGAGGAGATTGTCTCCCTCCAATTGGACAGAATTCCCAGACTCGACGCTCATTGGCCAGCGCCTTGACTTTTCCTCCAATCAGATTCCTCCGGGAGCAAGTCCTGTTTAAATCCTGCCAGGCTTCTGAGGGAGCATCTGCACTCTGGAATTCATTCAGTTTGGCCCCGCTTTAACGGCTAAAGCACAATGCCATGGTCTCCTCTGAGAGATATAGTTTTACACAGCCTTTCTGCCAAGATTGCTGATTCTTCACCAAGGTACAGACCTCAGGAATCCATATCTGTGAGCCAAGGCTGCTCAAGTGGTGCCAAACTGCATTAATTCCACAGTGTAGACACAATGATAATAATGTATTGTCGAAGGCTTTCATGGCTGGAACCACTAGGTTCTTGTGGGTTTTTTCGGGCTATATGGCCATGTTCTAGAGGCATTTTCTCCTGACGTTTCGCCTGCAAAACAACAGAGAGGAAACAACCAGGCACATCTTAACACCTCTCAACAAAAGATTCCCCCAGGCTCAGCCAGGCCTTCAAATGCTAATGAAGGTGGTCAGTTGAAACATTCACACCCAACTCCAGTAGAGAAGAGCTCTTTGCCCCACCCCAGCCATTCCACAGATATATAAACCCATTGTCCTAATTCCAACAGACCTCACTACCTCTGAGGATGCTTGCCATAGATGCAGGCGAAACGTCAGGAGAAAATGCCTCTAGAACATGGCCATATAGCCCGAAAAAAACCCACAAGAACCTAATAATAATAATAATAAAGACTCTGACACAAGGCAGTCAAAGTGGTCCCAGTGGTGATCAGCACACTGGGTACAGTGATTACCGTGATTGTGTTTATTGGAATGTTATTTTGTTACTGTGTTTATACTTTTTTTTTCTATGTCATTTTGATTATGTTGCTTGTGGTTTATGTTCTGGTTTTATTTTGCTGCAACATGTTGTCCGGGCTTGGCCTCATGTAAGCCGCTCTGAGTCCCCAGTGGGGAAATGGTGGCGGGGTATAAATAAAGTTTATTATTATTATTAAAGGTCTGGAGAACAAGCCCTATGAGGAGCGGCTTAACGAGCTGGGCATGTTTAGCCTGAAGAAGAGAAGGCTGAGAGGGGATATGATAGCCATGTATAAATATGTGAAAGGAAGCAACAGGGAGGAGGGAGCAAGCAAGCTTGTTTTCTGCTTCCCTGGAGACTAGGACGCGGAACAATGGCTTCAAACTACAAGAGAGGAGATTCCATCTGAACATGAGGAAGAACTTCCTGACTGTGAGAGCCGTTCAGCAGTGGAACTCTCTGCCCCGGAGTGTGGTGGAGGCTCCTTCTTTGGAAGCTTTTAAACAGAGGCTGGATGGCCATCTGTCAGGGGTGATTTGAATGCAGTATTCCTGCTTCTTGGCAGGGGGTTGGACTGGATGGCCCATGAGGTCTCTTCCAACTCTCTGATTCTATGATTCTATTATTATTATTACAGTGCCTAAAGACCTTGGCCTGCACTTAAACACAATCGGTGCTGACATGATTACCATCTGCCAGCTGCAAAAGGCCACCTTACTGGGATCTGCCTTTCCAGAATAGGAAACCCCAGCAACACGTCCCAAATAGCACTTTATTAGAGATTAAGATTGTCCACACATTGCACATATCCAAAATCACTCAGCATACTCAGCACTTTTTGGAAGGGCCCCCCCGGTGGCACAGTGGGTTACAGCACTGAGCTGCTGAGCTTGTTGACCAAAAGGTCACAGGTTCGATTCCAGGGAGCAGCGTGAGCTTCCGCTGTCAGCCCTAGCTTCTGCCCACCTAGCAGTTCAAAAATATGCAAATGTGAGTAGATCAATAGGTACCGCTCCGGCGGGAAGGTAAGGGCGCTCCATGCAGTCATGCCGGCCACATGATCTTGGAGGTGTCTACGGACAACACTGGCTCTTCGGCTTAGAAATGGAGATGAGCACAGTAATACAGTAAATAAATAAACAACAAATACAGTAAATAAATAAACAAACAAATAATAACAATTCTTGAGCTTGTAGTAGATTTCAACATTGAATAAAAACATTTAGCAGCAAAAAGGCAACTCAAGTAAAAAGAGTATCCAAAATATTGTCATGTTTCTGAATGGATGTATCTTTTTCCGTTTTTGTGTCCATTAGGGGTGATGCATCCTTGGCCGATACCACTGCTGCCATGGAGACCGAATCATCCAGTGGAAAGGATGCCATGGTAAGTGAGCTGCATCTCCGGGGCATCTACACTGTAGATTTAATGCAGTTTGGCACCACTTTATCTGCCATGGAATCCTGGGGGCTGGGTTTTTCTGAGGTCTTTAGCCTTCTCTGCCAAAAGAGTGCTGGTGCTTCACCAAACTACTAATCCCAGGATTCCATTGATGGGCAATGGAGAGGTCCCTGGCTACAGATTCCTCTTTCAAGATAGTTAAGATTCAAGTGTAATTGGAGTTGGACGAGACCTCAAGGGCCATCCAGTCCAACCCCCTGCCAAGAAGCAGAAAAATCACATTCAAAGCACCCCTGACAGATGGCCATCCAGCTTTTTATTTCAAAGCCTTCAAAGAAGGAGCTTCCACCACACTCCGGGGCCAAGAGTTCCCCTGCTGAACAGCTCTTACAGTTAGGAAGTTTTTCCTCATGCTCAGGTGGAATCTCCTTTCTTGTAGTTTGAAACCATTGTTCTGTGTCCTAGTCTCCAGGGCAGCAGAAAACAAGCTGCCTTTTGGCTGTATGGCAATTGAAGTTTATTAGGTAAAAATATTATGATCCACACAGTCAAAGGCTTTAGAATAGTCAATGAAGCAGAAGTAGATGTTTTTCTGAAACTCCCTGCCTTTCTCCATTATCCAGCGGATATTGGCAATTTGGTCTCTCGTTCCTCTACCTTTTCTAAACCCAGCTTGAACATCTGGCAACTCTCGCTCCATGTATTGCTGGAGGCTTCCTTGCAGGATCTTGAGCATTACCTTACTGGCATGAGAAATAAGGGCCACTGTACGGAAGTTTGAGCAGTCTTTCGCATTTCCCTTTTTTGGTATGGGGATATAAGTTGATTTTTCCAGTCTGATGGCCATTCTTGTGTTTTCCATATTTGCTGGCAAATGGCATGCATCACCTTGACAGCATAATCTTTTAAGATTTTAAACAGTTCAGCTGGGATCCCGTCATCTCCTGCTGCCTTGTTGTTAGCAATGCTTCTTAAGGCCCATTCAACCTCACTCCTCAGGATGTCTGGTTCTAATTCATTCACCACACCGTCAAAACTATCCTCAATATTATTATCCTTCCTATACAGATCTTCTGTATAGTCTCGCCACCTTCTCTTGATCTCTTCAGCTTCTGTTAGGTCCCTGCCAGCTTTGTTTCTTATCATACCAATTTTTGCCTGAAATTTACCTCCAATGTTTCTAATTTTCTGGAAGAGGTCTCTTGTCCTTCCTATTCTGTTGTCTTCTTCAACTTCCATGCATTGCTTATTTAAAAATAGTTCCTTATCTCTTCTGGCTAACCTCTGGAATTGCGCATTTAACTGGGCATATCTCCCCTTATCCCTGTTTCCTTTTGCTTTCCTCCTTTCTTGGGCTACTTCCAGTGTCTCAGCAGACAACCATTTTGCCTTCTTGGTTTTCTTTTTCTTTGGGACGTACTTTGTTGCCGCCTCCTGAACAATGTCGTGGACTTCTGTCCATAGTTCTTCTGGGACTGTGTTTACTAAATCTAGTCCTTCAAATCTGTTCTTCACTTCCACTGTATATTCGCTAGGAATGTTAGTGAGATCATATCTAACTGGTCTGTGTATTTTCCCTGATCTCTTTAGTTTTATTCTAAATTGGGCAATAAGAAGTTCGTGATCTGAGCTACAGTCAGCCCCAGGTCTTGTTTTTACCGACTGGATGGATGTCCGCCACCTTTGGCTGCAAAGGATGTAGTCAATCTGATTTCGGTGTTGACCGTCTGGTGAGGTCCATGTGTAAAGCCGTCTTTTAGGTTGTTGGAAGAGAGTATTCGTTATACACAGCGAGTTTTCCTGGCAAAATTCTATCAGCCTGCGTCCCGCTTCATTTTGTTTTCCCAGACCATGCTTGCCTGTGATCGCTGTTGTCATTTGACTTCCCACCTTGGCATTCCAGTCTCCTGTAATGAAAATAATGTCTCTTTTTGGTGTATTATCCAGTAGGTCCTGCAGATCCTCATAGAACTGATCTATTTCTGCTTCTTCAGCAGCTGTGGTTGGGGCGTATATTTGGATCACTGTAATGTTGAAAGGCTTTCCTTGCACTCGAATTGATATCATTCTGTCATTTTTTGGGTTGTATCCAAGCACCGCTTTAGCGAATTTCTTATTAATTATGAAGGCTACTCCATTTCTTCGATGTTCCTCTTGTCCGCAGTAGTAGATCTGGTGGTCATCTGATGTGAAGTGGCCCATTCCAGTCCATTTCAGTTCGCTGACCCCCAGAATGTCTATCTTTAGTCTTGACATCTCGCCAATAACAACATCCAATTTGCCCTGGCTCATAGATCTATGGTGTGTTGATCTTTAGAGCATCGGATTCGTCGTTCACCTCCAGTACCGTCGGCCGCTAGCCTTCCTTTCGGCTTTGAGCTAGCTGCGTCATCACATCTGGGGCTAGTTGAACTTATCCTCTGCTCCTCCCCAGTAGCATTTTGGCCATCTTCCGACCTGGGAGTCCCATCTTCCAATGGCATACCGACATATCTCTGGTTGTACTGGTACCATTTAGTTTTCTTGGCAAGGATACTGGAGTGGTTTGCCATTGCCTTCCCCAGGGATCACGCTTGGTCTGACCTCTCTGCCACAACCGTCCCGTCTTGGGTGTCCCTTCACGGCTTCGCTCATGACATCATTGAGGTGCTCAAGCTCCAGCGCCCCGACAAGGCGGTGATCCTTTGCTGGAGCATTATGCAGTTGTGGAGCATAATAAATTGTGGCAAGTTCTTGGTGGGATGGGCATACCAAGCCACCTTGTCTCTCTCCTGAGGAATCTGTACAAGGACCAAGTAGCAACAGTCAGAACTGACCACGGAACAACAGACTGGTTCAAGATTGGGAAAGGCGTACGGCAACGCTGCATACTCTCACCCAACCTTTTTAACTTGTATGCAGAACACATCATGCGAGATGTGCGGGGCTTGATGAATGCAAAGCTGGGGTGAAAATTGCTGGAAGAAACATTAACAACCTCAGATATGCAGATGACACCACTCTGATGGCCGAAAGCGAGGAGGAGCTGAGGAGCCTTCTAATCAAGGTAGAAGAAGAAAGCGCAAAAGCCGGGTTGCAGCTAAACGTCAAAAAAACCAAGATTATGGCAACAAGAATGATTGACAACTGGAAATAGAGGGAGAAACCGTGGAGGCCGTGACAGACTTTGTATTTCTAGGTGCAAAGATTACTGCAGATGCAGACTGTAGCCAGGAAATCAGAAGACGCTTACTTCTTGGGAGGAGAGCAACGTCCAATCTCGATAAAATAGTAAAGAGTAGAGACATCAGACTGGCAACAAAGATCCGCCTAGTCAAAGCCATGGTATTCCCTGTAGTCACCTACGGATGTGAGAGCTGGACCTTAGGGAAGGCTGAGCGAAGGAAGATCGATGCTTTTGAACTGTGGTGTTGGAGGAAAGTGCTGAGAGTGCCTTGGACTGCAAGAAGATCCAACCAGTCCATCCTCCAGGAAATAAAGCCCGACTGCTCACTGGAGGGAAAGATACTAGAGACAAAGTTGAAGTACTTTGGCCACATCATGAGGAGACAGGAAAGCCTAGAGAAGACAATTATTCTGGGGAAAGTGGAAGGCAAAAGGAAGAGGGGCCGACCAAGGGCAAGATGGATGGATGGCATCCTTGAAGTGACTGGACTGACCTTGAGGGAGCTGGGGGTGGTGACGGCTGACAGGGAGCTCTGGCGTGGGCTGGTCCATGAGGTCACGAAGAGTCGGAGACGACTGAACGAATGAACAACAACAGGTAAAAATATATAAACCATTGTGCATCTGCATCAACAAAATGTAGATAACTCTATTTTCCTAAAAACAATGTTGACATTAAAACTGAATCATTTTAGATGTCACATTTTCAGAAACAATAAATAAGTGAGTGTTGAATAGCAATAGAAAGATGTGAGACAGCAAGAAATAAGTGAGGTTGAAATAGAAATAGAGATCTGAGGCATGAGATTTACTAATTCTCTTTCGACACCATTAACAATATAATTACCACTAAGGACAAGTTGTGAAGATAAAATGGGGAGGAGTGGGGAAAGAGAACCCTTTATCCCTTTAAAACAGTGTTTCTCAACCTGGAGGTCGGGACCCCTGGGGGGATTGTGAGGGGGTGTCAGAGGGGTCTCCAAAGACCATCAGGAAACACAGTATTTTCTGTTGGTCATGGGAGTTCTGTGTGCCAAGTTTGGTTCAATTCCATCACTGGTGGAGTTCAGAATGCTCTTTGATTGTAAGTGAACTATAAATCCATGCAACTACAACCCCCAAATATCAATGTCTATTTTCCCCAAACTCCACCAGTGTTCACATTTGGGAATATTGAGTATTTATGCCAAGTTTGGTCCAGATCTATCATTGTTTGAGTCCACACTGCTTTCTGGATGTGGGTGAACTACAACTCCCAAACTCAAGGTCAATGCCCACCAAACCCTTCCAGTATTTTCTGCTGCTCATGGGAGTTGTGTGCCAAGTTTGGTTCACTTCCATCATTGGTGGAGTTCAAAATGTTCTTTGATAGTAGGTGAACTATAAAGCCCAACAACTACAACTCCCAAATGACAGATTCAATCCCCCACACCACCAGTATTCAAATTTGGGAATATCAGGTATTTGTGCCAAGTTTGGTCTAATGAATGAAAATACATCCTGCATTTCAGATATTTACATTACGATTCATAACAGTTCAAAATGACAGTTATGAAGTAGCAACGAAAATAATGTTATGGTTGGGGGTCACCACAACATGAGGAATTGTATTGAGGGGTCGTGGCATTAGGAAAGTTGAGAACCACTGCTTTAAAATATTTTGTTTCACTTTTATAGCATTTTTTGTTGTTATTTTGTTGATTTAATTTTAAATTGGTCATTTGTTATATTACTGTTTATTGTTTGCATTGTTCACATTGTTATAAGCCGCTCCGATCACCCTCGGGATGATGGGGCGGTATATAAATAAAGTTTATTATTATCCCATTTCAAGCTCTTTGTAGGAAGTAGAAGAAGATGTATTGGTCCTTTCTTCTAATGTTTTCCAGGAGGGTGTTGGAGACAATTCGGAAGTTATGGATAATCAGACTGGCTCAGTAGATGAAGACAACGGACGACAATTGGGAGAGATTGAGCTTCAGTGTGGGATTTGTACCAAATGGTTCACTGCAGAAACTTTTGGCATTGATACCACGTGAGTTGCGTCTACAGTTACTCCCCTGTTGTTGTTTTCAGCATCGCTTGTTTGTGTCCTGATTATTAAATAGGTCTTTTGAGAGATTTAACAGGATTACTTTTAATATATATGTGTTATGGCGACAATTTTTATGCTTATATTGTTTTGTTAATCTTATGTTTATGTTGTTTACTATGTATGTATGTATGATGTTACTTGGAAACTGCTCCGAGTCCCCTTGGGGAGATGGAGCAGTATATAAATAAAGTTGTATTATTTATTATTATCCTTTCTGTGAAAAAAAATGAGTTCTCTCATTCCAGAAGAGGGCAGCATGAACGTTGGTTTCAAATAGCTGTACTAGGAAGTCAGCACCATTGGAACCAGACTAAAATATAGTTTATACCTACCAAACAGTGAAACATTTAGACATATGTTAATGATGTCATTTCAGAAGTGTTTTCCAATCAGTCACTTTGGGCATTTGTTGTTTAGCTATAGACCAGTGGTTCCCAATCTGTTTTTGACTAGGGACCACTTGAACAGGGACCACTTTTCACTTCGTAGCCCAGTCATCTGTTTGCCATACTTGCCCTTGGCCATCTCATGTTGTTTCACCATTCCAAAATATCATCGTTTCTCTTGCTGGCTTGTACCCCTTTCCCTCATTAAACACATACTCAATTAATTTTCCCCATATTTTCCAAAAGTCTGTTTGTTTACATATTCCCCTTTTAATTTTAATATTGCAAGTTAGTTTATCATTAATTGCTATATTCCAAATTTCCCTATACCATTCTTCTAATTGAATTTCTTTTTTTCTTTCCAGTTTTTTGCTATTAACAATTTAGCTGCTGTTATCAAATTAGAAACCAATTCTTTCTCCTCTTGTAAGGGAATTATATTATCATGTATAAGTAATAATGCTAATTTTGGTGTAATCTCGATCTTTATTTTTATTATTGCTCTTATTTCTTTGAATATGCTTTCCCAATTTTTTTTGTATAATTTTACATGACCACCACATATGAAGGTACGTCCCTATTTCCTGACAACCTCTCCAGCACTGATTTGAGTATTTTTTATCAATCTGATTTAATCTAATGGGAGTTAGATACCACCTCCATATCATTTTGTAGTAATTTTCCTTAATTCTTATAGACATATTTTTTAGTATTCTCATATCCCAAATGTTTGCCCATTCCTGATTATTCAGTTCCACCCCCCCAGTCTGTTTCCCATACTTCCTTCAAATAATCTTGTTTCTGTTCGTTCATTAATAATAATTCATAGATATCACTTAATGTACCTTTTAATGTTATATTCTCTTCTTTAGTCTCCCTTTGAGTTATCATCTTTTCTATTTTTGTATATTCCCTACCTCTATTATACTTTTTCCTTATATCACTTGACCATTTACCCAATTGTAGATACTTGTACCAATCTAAATCTCCAAATGCCTCCTTTATCCTTTCCATATTTACCATTTTCAGATCCCAGTCTTTTACTTTCATTAAACCTCTTCCATTAAGTTCTACTTCAAGTTCTTTTTTCAAATTTTCTGGGAAGTTTTCTGTCATTAAAACTGGCATGATAGGAGAAATACCTGGCATTAGGGGTTTTTTTTAATATCTCCCCCATGCTCAAAGACCTGGGAGCCAATTTTAAAGGACTAAACAGTAGTACATTTTAAGATCTTAACCACAGTTTTTGTTATGACAGACAATCAGGGAAAATAAAATATATCCATTCATTACAATTTTTTAATTAGGATAATTTGAAGAAAAAGCATAGGTTCCACCTTAGTTATCCCAGATACGGCAGCCAACATAGGGCTATTGAGTAATTTAGGCCTCATCTTTTAGGACTGAAAAAAATCCATCAGTACATGACGTGTTCCGTGATAAGGACCTTGCTTCTCCATTTGTTTGTGTTGCTTTGAGGACACAAAGACCTGTGTAAATAATAACAATCCAAATTTGTTATTATCTCGGTCTTTGACCCACTTTCTTTGGATACGGTTAGCCATTTTAGACAGCCCTCCACTGTATGCAGTTTAGGGATTTCATGAAAAACTGGTTTCTGATGGCTAGCAAATATTTCAATGAAGTGTTGACAGCCTTGACTTAAGCTGAATGGGCAGATGGCTGATTCACACTGGACAAAAGGCACCAAAGCGATTTGGATCATGGGATTTTAATGTTTATCCTAGGATGATTTTATGCTTTGTCTGAATGCATAAATTTTATGTATATCTTTTTTAAAATAATTTTTATTGAGAGGGAAGATGGCTCCAAAAAGAAGGAGCAAAATCGAAGAAAATCAGAGAGTACGTCAAAAGTGTGGGAACAATATAATTTTAGAAAAGTAGGAAAAAAGGAAGAATAATATCTAACCTAAAACAATACTAAAAGAGAGAAAAAAGAGAATTTTTTTAAAAAATACACTAAAATAAAAAATGAAAAAAAAATTTTTAAAGTATGTTGACTTTCATTCTTCTTACTATTTTTTCATATTCTTGGAATTATATAGAGACATTTTTCTTTTTTGGGTTTTAATTTTATGTATGTCTTATGTGCAATGGTTTTAATTGATTTTAAGTTCATAGTTTTATGTAGTTATTAATTATTACGATTTCTTCTATGTTCACACGAGAAAGGGTGAGAAAGATGTATATAAATAAATAAAAATGTATCCAAAATGACTTAGCTACATCTGACTTACGAAACCATATAAAAGATTCCCGACCTGGTGGGTTGGTTTATGCCTGCAGCATTTAAATACAATTGATTTGAGTATATTGTACATCTGACAATTAAATAAACAAACCCCAAGCACCAACCTGTACTCTAAAAATGACTTGGAATGCAATTAGAAGGCTAGAAAGTATTCTTTCTAATTTTAACATCTGAATATATGGATAGACTTTTTTTCTTTGATTACTGACCATGCGTTTCTTTGTATTTTAGGTCGTGTCTGCCTTTTATGACCAACTACAGTTTCCATTGCAACATATGTCATCACAGTGGGAATACATACTTCTTAAGGAAACAAGCAAGTAAGCAACAGGGAAATAATTGAGAAAAAGTTGTCTACTTTTCTCTTTCTGTGCTTTTAAACCCTATGATGGTTGTTTATAGTAGTTCAAGGATGACCACAGTTGTGAAGCCAGTAAAATATTTCATTATTTTAAATTTGGTTGAGGGGAAAAATGTCCATAGGAAAAGAAAAATCTGATTCTTTGGGTGGTTTTTCTCTCAGCCTTTGCACCATTTATTTTGAAGAAGATGGATTAATGTGTTATTGAAGGCTTCCATGTTTGTGTCTAGTTTTCTGTCCTTAAAGACCTGAAGGAAATGTGTTTATTTTGAAGAAGCTGGATTGACTTTTTTGTCTGATTTGCTTCCCTCAAAGACCTGAAGGAAATGTGTCTCAGTGCTTTGGCAAACCTAACTTGGCAATCGAGATCTCAAGATGAACACCCCAAAACTATGTTCTCAAAAGACAAGGTATGGGATGTTCAACGTGGTTGGAATCACATTGGGGAAAAATGGGTGTGTGGGTGTGTTAGGATTAAAGCTGGTCCCGCCTCCAGTCTGTTAATCTCCATCTTTATGAATACAAACAGTTCCCAAGTTATAAACAAGATAGGTTCTGTAGGTTTGTTCTTAAGTTGTTTTTGTATGTAAGTCGGAACAGGTGAATTTTTTAAGTGTAACTCCAGGTTTTAAAAGGGGCCGCAGTGGCGCAGTGGGTTTTATTTGTCGTGGCAGGGCAACCAGTCCACTGTATTACATTTCTAACTGAACAAAACAAACAAACAGACAAAATACAAAATTTGCAAGCTTGGTAGTTGATTAAATGTCCTTTGACCCGTATCTGGCCACTTGGAGTGTTTCTGGTGTTGCTGCAAGAAGGTCCTCCATTGTGCATGTGGAAGGGCTCAGGTTGCATTGCAGCAGGTGGCCAGTGGTTTGCTCTTCTCCACACTCGCATGTTGTGGATTCCACTTTGTGGCCCCATTTCTTGAGGTTGGCTCTGCATCTCCTGGTGCCAGAGTGCAGTCTGTTCAGCGCCTTCCAAGTCGCCCAGTCCTCTGTGTGCCCGGGGGGAGTCTCTCATTTGGTATCAGCCATTGGTTGAGGTTCTGGGTTTGAGCCTGCCACTTCTGGACTCTCGCTTGCTGAGGTGTTCCAGCGAGTGTCTCTGTAGATCTTAGAAAACTATTTCTAGATTTAAGTCGTTGACGTGCTGGCTGATACCCAAACGGAATGAGCTGGAGATGTCTCTGCCTTGGTCCTTTCACTATTGGCTGCTACTTCCCGGCGGATGTCAGGTGCGAGAAGCCTCCTCACAGGGTTGCAAGACATCCGGACGTCCCCTGGGCAACGTCTTCGTAGATGGCTGATTCTCTCGCCCCAGAAGCAACCAGAGGCGCAGTGGGTTAAACCACTAAGCTGCAGAACTTGCTGACTGGAAAGTCAGTGGTTCGAATCCGCGGGATAGCCCCAGCTTCTGTCAACGTAGCAGAATGTAAACATGCAAATGTGAGTAGATTAATAGATCGGCAGGAAGGTAACGGTGCTCCATGCAGGCCACATGACCTTGGAGGTTTCTATGTACAATGCCAGGTCTTTGGCTTAGAACTGGAGATGACATCTGCCCTTGCGCTGTGCTTACTCTGCTGCTGAGTATGCCTGCCCAGTGTGGAACACATCTCACCACACTAAAACAGTGGATGTGGCTCTGAATGAGACATGCCGCATTATCACAGGGTGTCTGCACCCTACACCACTGGAGAAATTACACTGCTTTGCCAGTATCACACCACCTGACATCTGCCGGGAAGTAGCAGCCAATAGTGAAAGGACCAAGGCAGAGACATCTCCAGCTCATCCCCTGTTTGGGTATCAGCCAGCACGTCAACGACTTAAATCTAGAAATAGTTTTCTAAGATCTACAGAAACACTCGCTGGAACACCTCAGCAAGCAAGAGTCCAAAAGTGGCAGGCTCAAACCCAGAACCTCAACCAATGGCTGATACCAAATGAGAGACTCCCCCTGGGCACACAGAAGACTGGGCGACTTGGAAGGCACTGAACAGACTGCACTCTGGCACCACGAGATGCAGAGCCAACCTTCAGAAATAGGGCTACAAAGTGGAATCCATGACATGCGAGTGTGGAGAAGAGCAAACCACTGACCACCTGCTGCAATGCAACCTGAGCCCTGCCACATGCACAATGGAGGACCTTCTTGCGGCAACACCAGAAGCACTCCAAGTGGCCAGATACTGGTCAAAGGACATTTAACCAACTACCAAACTCACAAGTTTTGTATTTGTCTGTTTGTTTGCTTTGTTCTGTTAGAAATATAATATAATGGACTGGTTGCTCTGACACGACAAATAAATAAACCTACTTCCAGGTTTGGATAGCATTGGGAAGGGCTAACATCTCAGTGGAGTTTTTTTTTTGTTTTTGTTTTTTTGCTGTCTGTGCCCTGATCAGAAGTTTTCCCCTCACTTTCTATCGCTGTGAGAATTGCATTTTTTTAAATGGCTTGTTTTGGAAACAAGGATTGGAGATAAAGCTTCATTGGAGACATGTTTTCCCCATGATAATAACTCTTCCAGGAGTGGATTTCCTTTCCGAGGGGTAGATTTCTCTTACTTCCTGTTGTCCCACCCCCATTCTTAACTATGAGTAGTTTGTAAGTTGGATGTTGGTAACTCAAAGACTGTCTGTATCAGTAATATAATTCATGTTGGATGATTACTGAATCTAGATAAAATACTTTGTTGTGGCATTAGAGTGGCTCATCATAATTCCTGTTCATCTCCAACAGGATATTATACCCTTTATCGATAAGTACTGGGAGTATATGACAACAAGGCAAAGACCAGGAAAAATGACTTGGCCGAATAATATTGTGAAAACAATGGTAAGTTGTGAATTGGTGAATAAAATAAACAAACAAATAGGAACTACTTTGGTTTGGAGAATGTCTCAGTAAATTACTGAATAATTTTGCTAAATTAATCTCATTACTTTATTTCAGTGTTTCTCAACCTGGGGGTTGGGACCCCTGAGGGGGTCACGAGGGGGTGTCAGAGAGGTCACCAAAGACCATAAGAAAACACAGTATTTTCTGATGGTCATGAGGATTCCATGTGAGAAGTTTGAGCCAATTCTATCGTTGGTGGAGTTCAGAATGTTCTTTGATTGTAATGAACTATAAATCCCAGCAACTACAACTCCCAAATGTCAAGATCTATTTTCCCCAGACTCCACCAGTGTTCACATTTGGGCATATTGAGTATTCATGCCAGGTTTGGTCCAGATCCACCGTTGCATGAGTCCACGGTGCTCTCTGGATATAGGTGAACTACAACTCCCAAACTCAAGGTCAATGCCCATCAAACCCTTCCAGTGTTTTCCATTGGTCATGGGAGCCAAGTTTGGTTCAAATCCATTGCTGGTGGAGTTCAGAATGCTCTTTGATTATAAGTGAACTATAAATCCCAGCAACTACAACTCCCAAATTACAAAATCAATCCTCCCCCAACCCCACTAGCATTCACATTTGGGTGTATTGGGTATTTGTGCCCAGTTTGGCCCAGTGAATGAAAATACACCCTGCATATCAGATGTTTACATTATGGTTTATAACAGTAGTAAAATGACTGTTATGAAGTAGTAACGAAAACAATATTATGTTTGGGGGTCACCACAACATGTGGGACTATATTAAGGGGTCACGGCATTAGGGAGGTTGAGAACCACTGCTTTATTTTGATATAAAGGGATCTTTGATTCTGTTGAAGGGTATTGTCTATCACTGGCTTAACAAGGGCATTAAATTATTGATTGTGTATTAGAGCATTATTCTTAACAATCCCCCCTGCCTCGTAAAATAGTGCTACATAAAATTACACTTCATCTATATAAATAAAAATGTAATATTCGTTTGTGGGATTAGCAGAACTCAAAAACCACTGGACGAATTGACACCAAATTTGGACACAAGACGCCTAACAACCCAATGTATGTCCTTCACTCCAAAAAATTGATTTTCTCATTTGGGAGTTGTAGTTGCTGGGATTTATAGTTCACCTACAATCAAAGAGCATTCTGAACCCCACCAACGATGAAACTGAACCAAACCTGGCACACAGTTCTCCCATGACCAACAGAAAATACTGGAAGGGTTTGGTGGGCAGTGTCCTTTGGTTTTGGAGTTGTAGTTCACCTACATTCAGAGATCACTGTGGACTCAAACAATGGTGGATCTGGACCAAACTCTACAGAATACTCAATATGCCTAAATGTGAACACTGATGGAGTTTGGGGGAAATAGAATCTTGGCATTTGGGAGTTGTAGTTGCTGGGATTTATAGTTCACCTACAATCACAGAGCATTCTGAAGCCCACCAACGATGGAACTGAACCAAACCTGGCACACAGTTCTCCCATGACCAACAGAAAATACTGGAAGGGTTTGGTGAGCAGTGTCCTTTGGTTTTGGAGTTGTAGTTCACCTACATCCAGAGATCACTGTGGACTCAAACAATGATGGATTTGGACCAAACTCTACACAAATACTCAATATGCCTAAATGTGAACACTGATGGAGTTTGGGGAAAATAGAATCTTGGCATTTGGGAGTTGTAGTTGCTGGGATTTATAGTTCACCTACAATCACAAAGCATTCTGAACCCCACCAACGATAGAATTGGGCCAAACCTCCCATACAGAACCCCCATGTTGGCCACAGCAACGCGTGACAGGGGATGGCTAGTATTAAATAAACTAGTACGGATATTTGTCCCAATTACAGATTTGTCCTTAGGATGCACTTTCTTTTGTCCTTAATAAAAATCAACCCCATTGTTTGCTCCTTCTGAGTTCTCCCCTCAGATACATAATACTCCATTTACTTATCTCATCCAGGGTTTATCAATTTTATTCTTTGCATTTGGCCCACCCATTGTGCTTTTATCTCTTCACCATGTTATTTTGTGTTTGGTTATCCCATATTTGTTAATTCATGTATTTGTTTTGATGCTGTTATTTGTTTGTTGTATTTTATTTTGCTGTAATTTTGGGCCTGGCCTCATGTTAGCCGCCCCGAGTCCCCATTGGGGAGATGGTGGCGGGGTATAAATAAAGTTTATTTGTTTATATACAGTATTTATATTCCGCCCTTCTCACCCCGCAGGGGACTCAGGACTGATTACAATGTACATATACATGGCAAACATTCAATGCCATAGACACACAACATATATAGACAGATACAGAGGCAATTTAACATTCCAGCCTTTTCTTGAGGGTATTTTGGCCACCAGGGGGGGTGTCCCTTCAATGACCATTTGTGACACTGATGAAGTACTTCCTCATTCTTTGCATGCTTGCTGGAGATTTTTATGGCCTCGTAAATTAGTTAAATTTGCCTCCCCGCATAAGCAGTACCTAAATTTCCTACTTGACAGATGCAACTGTCTTTCAGGCTGCAAAGGTCAACAGCAAGCTACACAAAATTGGTCGGAAGCTCACTCTGACCCAGGCTGGCTTTGAACTCATGACCTTTCGGTCAGTAGTGATCTTAATGTAGCTGACTCCCAGCCAGCTGCGCTGCAGTCCCGGTGCTTATTATTATTGGGTTTTATTACTATAAAACTCAATTTTTTTAATAATAAAACTCAATTATATCGTTATATTATTTTTGTAATAACAAAACAGTCCTGGTGCTTATTGAGTTTTATTACTATAAAACCCAATTTTTATAATAATAAAACTCAATTGTATTATTATATTATTTTTATAATAATATTATTATTATATCATTTTTATAATAATAAAACAGTCCTGGTGCTTATTATTATTGAGCTTTATTATTATAAAACTCAAATTTTCTTTGTAGAAACACCCCAACATCTGATGGATTTATATCAAAATCAATCAGACTGCTTTATCTTTAAAGCTGAGGCAATAATAATTATAATTATACTCTGGTTTGTCTTCAGATCGTATAATTATAATTGGCACATCACGCACACAAATCCAACAATAAAAAATCTGAAGCATGATGATGTATTTTCAGTGTAACTTGGGATACACTTTGAGTTTCTCATCTTGTTTGAATGCTCTGTCCTAGTGTAAGGAAAGAGACGTGTTCTTGGTGAAAGAGCATCCGGACCCAGGAAGCAAAGATCCAGAGGAGGATTACCCTAAATTTGGACTCTTAGACCAGGTATGTTATTTTAGCACAGCATGCATCCAATGTAAGGTTTCAAGTCTGCACTTTTCCAGGACAACATGGGGAGAGAAGAGTTGGATAAAGCTCAGTTTTTCTTCCCTTTGCCTCAAGGTCCTTCCTGAAAGTCCTCTTAGTGACTCCTTATTAGAGTAAACCCATAGAAGTGATAGCTGTCAACATAAAGGTCAATCCATTTCAATGTCTTGACTTTGGTCTGGACTAATAGTCACGATATTGCCCCGCAGCACTTGCCCACTGAGCTATTGGTTGATAGAGGCGGTTACTTACTTACTTACATACTTACTTACTTAAGCGATCCCTCGTTGCCCAAGCAGGATAGTCTTCCAAGATCAGTGTTCTGGTGGTGGTCCGTAGGTGACCGTGGAGCCTTATTCTTGACCTGCATCTTCTTCCGCAGTGAGGACATTGGTTTCCAGGTGGAAGGCGATCCCGGTCAGGGTTGGCTTGCCGCGCCTTCCTCTTGGCACATTTCTCTCTTTCGCCCTCTGTTCGTGCCTCTTCAAATTCTGCAGCACTGCTGGTCACAGCTGACCTCCAGCTGGAGCACTCAAGGGCCAGGGCTTCCCAGTTCTCAGTGTCTATGCCAGAGTTTTTAAAGTTGGCTTTCAGAACGTCTTTAAATCTCTTTTCCTGGCTACCAACATTCTGTTTTCCGTTCTTGAGTTCAGAGTAGAGGAACTGCTTTGGGAGACGGTGGGCAGGCATCCGGACAATGTGGCCGGTCCAGCGGAGTTGATGGCGGAGGACTATCGCTTCAGTGCTGGTGGTCTTTGCTTCTTCCAGCATGCTGACATTTGTCCGCTTGTCTTCCCAAGAGATTTGCAGGATTTTTCGGAGAAAACGCTGATGGAATCATTCCAGGAGTTGCATGTGATGTCTGTAGATAGTCCACGTCTCACAGGAGACTGAAGGAGCAATGGCTTAGGAAAGCTTAGGAGTAGAGGTATCAAACTTAGGCCCCCAACTCTCAGGAGCCCCTATTGCCAGCTTATGCAATAGTCAGGAATTCTGGGAGCAGACGTCCAAAACACCTGGAAGTCCATAGATCGTGCAGGTCTCGATTTGAGGAAGAAACATATGGAGATGGTGGAAGTGGCCCACATCATAGGCCCACAAGGGAAGCAGCAACTGTGATGGAGTCTGACTCCAGAAAAATGGATGCAAAAATGTTGGGGATTCTAATTTTCATAAGATAGAATGTAATGAAAGAAGACTATGTTTTAATACAAATATTATTGTGTTATTGATGTTTTAACTTTACATTTTATGTCTAACTAGCCATCTCCCGCCACGCGTTGCTGTGGCCCAGTCTGTGTATATGTGTTTTGTGTGTGTGTGTGTGTGTGTGTATATATTTGTGTATATGTGTGTATGTGTGTTTGCGTATATATATGTAGTTTTGCACATGCATTGTAATGCATTTTATTTTTGGCTTTTTCAGTCTCTTCTGTTGTGTTTCTCAGTGTTTTATGTGTGATGGTCACTTGTTGGCCAGATAGGTGTATTGTGTCCAAATTTGGTGTCAATTTGTCCAGTGGTTTTTGAGTTATGTTAACCCCACAAATGAACATTACATTTTTATTTCTATAGATACTAGCCGTCTCCTGCCACGCGTTGCTGTGGCCCAGTCTGTGTATATGTGCTTTGTGTGTGTATATATGTGTATATGTATGTTTGCATTTATATATGTGGTTTTGTGCATGCGTTGTAATGTAATATTTTTTTTTGGCTTTTTAAGTCGCTTCTGCTGTGTTTTTCAGTGTTTTTATGAGTGATAGTCACTCGTTAGCCTGATACGTGTATTGTGTCCAAATTTGGTGTCAATTCATCCAGTGGTTTTTGAGTTATGTTAATCCCACAAACAAACATTACATTTTTATTTATTTAGATGTTATTTTTGGTTTATGTTTTAATATGGTTAGGTTTCTAATTTATATTTCTATTTTATTGTCTAGCTATTATGTTTTGGTTTTCGCATGTATGTACAGCAATACATTTTTTCCCATTATTATGTTGGAAACCACTTTGAGTCCCTTCAGGGGGAGAAAAGCAGTATATAAATGCAGTAAATACATAAATAAATAAATGTCTTATTATTTTGCTACATTAGAGACTGTAATCTTTATCATGCTTATCGGGAATAAGCCCTAATTCAATATAATGAGATGTTTAAAACTGTGTTCTGAGAGAGGTGCTTTGCCTTAAAAGCATTAATCAAAACCAAAGCAATTGTATATAGAATCATAGAATAATAGAGTTGGAACATGGGCCATCTAGTCCGACCCCCTGCCATGCAGGCAAAGCACAATCAAAATACCCCTGACAGATGGCCATCTAGCCTCTGTTTAAAAGCTTACAAGGAGCTTCCACCACACTCCTAGGCAGAGAGCTCCACTGCTGAATAGCTCTTACAGTCAGGAAGTTCCTCCTAACATTCAATGGAATCTCCTCTCCTGTAATTTGAACCCATGGCTCAATTGAGTCCTAGTTTCCGGTGCATCAGAAAGCAATTCTACTCCCTCTTCCTTGGGGCATCCTTTCTCATATTTATACATGGTCAGTTGTGCAGTGGGTTAAACTGCTGAGCTGTTGAACTAGCTGACCTAAGGGTCGACGGTTCGAATCCAGGGAGCAGGGTGAGCGCCCACTGTTAGCCTCAGCCTCTGCCAACTTAGCAGTTCGAAAACACACAAATGTGAGTAGATCAATAGATACCGTTTTGGCGGAACGGTAGCAGCGCTCCATGCAATCATGCTGGCCACATGACGTTTGAGGCGACTATGGACAACACTGGCTCTTCGGGTTAGAAGTGGAAATGAACACCACTCCTGAGAGTTGGACACAACTAGACTTAATGTTAAGGGGAAACCTTTACCTCTTTATCATGTCTCCTCTAAACCTTCTCTTCTGCATACTAAACATGCCCAGCTCTTTAAGCCGCTCCTCATAGGGCTTGTTCTCCAGAGTTGCCCTCCTCTGAACACCTTCCAGCTTATCAATATCTCTTTTAAACTGTGGTGCCCAGAATTTGGCACAGTATTCTAGTTGAGATCTAACCAAAGCAGAATAGAGAGCCACCATGATTTCCCTTGATCTAGATACTAGACTCCTTTTGATACAGCCCAAAATCCCATTGCTTTTTAAGCTGCTGTATCACACTGTTGGCTCATGTTCAACTTGTTGTCCATGAAGACTCCCAAGATATTTCTCACGTGGACTGTTGTCGAGCCAGGCATCACCCGTCCTGTATCTTTGCATTTCATTTTTTCTGCTTAAGTGTAGTATCTTACAGCTAAAGAGGCAAAAATAATGTTTTAAAACATGTTATTTATTTCTCTCTCTTTTTCAGGACCTAGGCAATATTGGCCCTGCTTATGACAACCAGAAGCAGAGCAGCACAGTGTCTACTAGCGGAAGTCTCAATGGCAAGTTTGTCTCTCATTCTCCAAATGAGAATCTGGCTTCTGGCATCAAAGGCAGAGTTCAGGAGAAGTGGCATTTGCAATTCAGTCTTATCCTGGTTCATTACATAATAAAAGTGTATACAGTAGGTCTAAAGTCTCAGATCAGCATCCATAATATTATAGCCTTACTTAACTTAATCATGGGGTGTCTGAGAACTGTACAGGGTAAAAATACAGACTTCATTTTCTTGTTAAAATGTAATATGATGATGATGATGATGATTATTATTATTAATAACTCACCCTCTCTCCCCATTTTTGTGTAATTTTATGTTAACAATAGCACAGTCTTACCAAAATCATACTGGAATGTTTTAGGAATCAATTTTATTTATGTCTAGCAAATTTGCCTTTCAAATATACCGTATATACTTGAGTATAGTAATAACAAAATAGAGTAAAATAATAAATGCAATAATAGCAATAATAATTAATAATAAATTTATTATTATTGCTATTATAGCAATAATTAATTAATTAATTAATTGTAGCAATAATAAATTAATAATAAATACAGTGAAGTAATAAATGTAATAAAATAATGGGGCAAATAATGTAAATGTAATAATAATAATACCAATAATAAATAGAGTAAAATAATAAATGCAATAATAGCAATAATAATAAATATAGTAAAACAATAAATGTAATAAAAATGAGCCAAATAATGTAAATGTAATAATAATAATAATACCAATAATAAACAGAGTAAAATAATAAATGCAATAATAGCAATAATAATAATAAATACAATAAAATAATAAATGTAATAAAAATAATGGGGCAAATAATGTAAATGTAATAATAATAATAAATACAGTAAAATAATAAATGTAATAATAATAATAGAGTAAAATAATGTAATGTAATAATAATAGTAAATAGAGTAAAATAATAAATGTAATAAAAATTATAATAATAACAGGGTAAAATAATAAATAACTTTGCCTCAACCAAGGGGGAGTTTTTCAGTATAAAAAAGGGCTGAAAAACTCGGCTTATACTCAGTATATATGGTACTTGGCTTAGCAGTGGATAAAAAGAAACTCCACCTGAATCATATGTATAGTTCAAACTAACAGACTGGCATATAGACCAAATTATTATTAAAAGTAATATTACTAGTGTACTCTATAATAAACTATACATGTCTTTTATGTAGGAATAAATCTGCAATTATAATTGTAAATATAAAATAATAGTGGAATATTATTTCTACCTTCACTTAGTAATACTGAAACCATATCTCCATTTGCTAAAAGTAATCAGGGTATTCAGCCTTATTTCCCACCACCATTTTTTCTTTTCCATTCCTCAGTCTTTTGAGTTTTTGCAGTTTTCTCAAACTTGTATTCGGAAGGGAAGGTGTAGATTTGGTGACTCTGTGTCTCCCTTTCCAAGCAACCAAGTTCTTGGAACAGTTTATATGTCCCAATTCAAGGTATAGTGAACCATACCATCTGTTACTAGGGGAGCGGAGGGAATTTCAGTGATACATTTCCAATTTTTACCTGCAAAGCTGGTACAGGTGTCCATTTCATGCTTTAGTGTTTTGTTTTTCTCTCATGACAACCTGACAACTACATGGTGCAACTTCTGTTCTTACAGGTGGAGCCTCTTTGGGAGGTGAATATTTACTTTTCAGCTTCTTAAAACCTAAGTATTGTTGTTTGAAAAGCCCTTTACTGTTGCTTTTGTTTTGTTTTGCCACGCTGTCTTTGGAAGCTAAATGATTCATCTAGAAAACAATCGTACAAATTTGTGCGTGCTAGAGTTAAAACCAAACATTAATTCCTCATTAACGAGAAGGGTTCGCAAGCTTTTCCCAATCATATTCTGCCTCTCATTGGTCACTTCAAGGCCTTTTTTCTTCTCTGCAGTCATTCTGCTGACATGACCTCTGTTGCGAGGCCTTCAGGCCAATCTCTAGTTCTTTGGCTTCATTTCCTCACTTGCAAAAGAGGAATAAATATAGTCTTCTAAATAGGATTGTTGCAGGGTCAGGAAATGTTGTTTTTCATCCTAACCCAGTGATTGTGAATGAGGAATATATGGGAAAATACTATTGAATGTGCCAAGCTTTTGATTGAGCTGTTAAAAACCCTAAAATCAAAGTGAAGTTTGAACTAGCACTGACCTCACAATTCTGACATTCAGTTTTTACATCTCTGTGCTTTTCCGTGATCATTGTGTGGAGAAGCCAAGCCTTAACTGAATCATCCCTCTAAAACAGCTAGTTTTTAGTCTTGGACGCAAGAGACCTTGTTTGAATTTTTCCACCAAATGTAAAGCTTATCGGTTAGCAAGCCATTCTCTGCCATAGGAACTTGTTTTCTGGGTCATTTTGAAGCAGAATTTAATGCTAGCTTTTATACCGCTCTTTGCTTCTAGGAGGAAGGCTGGAATAATAATCTATATAAATTAAAATGTAATGTTCGTTTGTGGGATTAACATAACTCAAAAACCACTGGACAAATTGACACAAAATTTGGATACAATACACCTATCAGGCCAACGAGTGACCATCACTCATAAAAACACTGAAAAACCAGCAGAACAAACTTTAGAACCCCCCAAAATAAACCATCTATACACACACACACACACACACACACAGAGCATACGTTCATACACATAGACAAGCACACATACATACATACAAACACACACATATATACACAAGCACACAAATACACACATATATACACACATATATTCATATACCCAAGCACACACATATACACAATATACATATACGCATATAAACACAGAAATACACACATATATATACATGCAAACACACATATATACACATATACACAAATATATAAACACAACATTACAACGCATGTGTAAAACCACATATATATTTATACACAAGCACACATATATACACATATACTCAAATATATATATACACACACAAAACACATATACACAGACTGGGTCACAGCAACGTGTGGCAGGGGACAGCTAGCATTATTATTATTATTATTATTATTATTATTATTATTATTATTATTATTGTGTCAGTATAATAATGATGATAATAATAATATAGTGATAATCTATATAAATAAAAATGTACTGTTAATTTGTGGGATTAACATATCTCACAACATATAACATATCTCACTGGATGAATTGACACGAAATTTGGACGCAAAACACCTATCAGGCCAATGAGTATCCACTCCTAAAAACACACAAAAAAAAGTAATGTTAATTTGTGGGATTAACATAACTCAAAAACCACTGGACGAATTGACAAGAAATTTGGACACAATACACATATCAGGCCAAGCAGTGACCATCACTCATAAAAACACTGAAAAACATATCAGAATAGACTTAATAGCCAAAAAATAAAAAATACATTACAATGCATATTCAAAACCATATACACACACACACACATATACACATATAAACATATATACACACACACATATACACATATATACACACACAAAACACATATACACAGACTGGGCCACAGCAACACATGGCAGGGGATGGCTAGTTTGAAAATAAAAATCCAAGCCCATTTCAAGTCTGCTTGCAAGCCAAAACAAGCTGCTCCGACGCTATTCAAAAGCTGATTTATCGTGTGCGACAAGAATCTCATTTAAATCAAAGTGGGACACTCCAGAATTATGAATGAGGGAGCCAACATTTGGATTCCAACTCCAAATTTAAAAGCTTCGAACAAGTGCTGTAATTCAAATTGATACATGGTTGTGCAGAATATGATGCTCCCCTTAGAGGCCCACATTTGATTACTAAGCTTGCTATTCTTGCAGTTATGGTGCCCTATGCTGCTAATGGAAAGGTGGTTGTCTGCAGTCGGCAAATCCAGGTTGTTCAGAAGATACTTCCATATAGGAAAGGTCTGCTGTTCCGGTTCATGTATACACACCATTTTACATTCATAGCAGTCTGGGAGAATTCTCCTATCCGACACCTAAAGTAAATTGAAATCATTGTGTACTCATAACCTAAAACCAAAACATGGAAATACTATTTCAGTGGGACTGTAGTTCCCAGGTTGGAGGATGCAGGGAGTTGTAATCCCAGGTGTATCATTTCTGACCTCTGAATAAAAGCCAACATTTTTTCAACACTAATATTTTAAATAGGCATATATAGTCTCTTGACACCTGGTGGCACAGCGGGTTAAACTGCTGAATTTGTTGATCAAGCAGTTGGCAGTTCAAATCCAGGGAGTGGGGTGAGCTCCCTCTGTTAGGCCCAGCCTCTGCCAACCCAGCACTTCGAAAACATGCAAGTGCAGAAAGGTAATGGCACTCCATGCAGTTATGCTGGCCACATCACCTTGGAGGTGTCTATGGACAACGCCATCTCTTTGGTTGGAGATGAGCATCACATCTCAGAGTTGGACACAACTAGACTTAGTGTCAGGGGAAATCTTTACCTTTACTTTAGTCTTATGAACTAAAGAGGACAGCCCTATTACATGCATGGATTTAGCTAAACTACATTAAGCGATTTACTGACAGGATTGTTAGTATTGTTAGGCTTTCATGGCTGGAATCATTGGGTTGTTGTAGGTTTTTTGGGCTATATGGCCATGTTGTAGAAGCATTCTCTTCTGATGTTTCGTCTGCATCTATGGCAAACATCCTCAGAAGTTGTGAGACCTCACAACCTCTGAAGATGCTTGCCATAGATGCAGGCGAAACATCAGGAGAGAATGCTTCTAGAACATGGTCATATAGCCCAAAAAACCTACAACAACCCAGGGTTGTTAGTGTCTCCTTGCCCCATATACAGCTGTTTAGCAGCTCTCCCAGGACTAACCGATCTCACTTATTCTCCACTGATTCTTTGCTAAGCTGCATATCTGCAAGGCAGATGGATAATAAGCGAAGAGAAGGAGTGAAAGAGATGCACATGCACAAGAACATAAAGCTGTTGATTTCCCCAACATGAAGCGTTTGCCAGCACTGCAGAGAAACACCTTCGCTTTGGTTTTCCTGTTTTGTTCTCTTTGTCTGGTGGATGCTTACTTGTGAAACAGAGGCAATATGTCCAAGTGCAGCTTAATAGTTCTATGGGGCTGGGCCCTCTTACCTTTTGTGATCCCCTCCCCCCCCCCCCCCCCCCCCGCACTTTTAAGCATTGGGTTGGGAGCGTAGTTTGTCTTCAAACTAGTATCTGGAGTTTGTCTGCTTTTCTCCCCTAATTCGAGTGCTGGTTTTTTTTTTCTTCATGTAGAAATAAGTGAAAATCTGAAGCTGATTGGTTCTTTCTCTCTTCTCTGTTGCACTAAATCCTTGGTTTGTCTCGCTGTGTTTTGAATCTCCATTAAAGACTGGCCATTCCTACTTGGCTGGTGACATTTTTCTCTCCAAAATTCCACTTTGACACCCAACACGATGTGAACAGTGAGAAAAATACAGACCATAAAATTCCACTTTCCAGCCAAAAGGTGTCTGGGTTGTTGTAGGGTTTTTTCGGGCTACATGGCCATGTTCTAGAGGCATTCTCTCCTGACGTTTCGCCTGCATCTATGGCAAGCATCCTCAGAGATAGTGAGGTCTGTTGGAACTAGCAAAGTGGGCCTTCGACAATACATGGATCTATATATCTGTGGAATAATGTTCAGGGTGGGACAAAGAACTCTTGTCTGTTGGAGCTAGGCGTGAATGTTTCAACTGACCACCTTGGCCCTGCTCTCGGTCCGACCGGCCTCGCAAGCGCGTCTGTTGGGGACGAGGGACAGGGCCTTCTCGGTGGTGGCCCTGCAACTCTGGAACTCTCTCCCACTGGAGGACAGAACCGCCCCTTCTATCCTGACATTCAGGAAACAGGTGAAGACATGGTTATGGAGACAGGCATTCGATGAGATATGGATGGAAGATGATGTACAATCGATTTTAGTATGACGACTGACCATTGTAGTTATTGAATATATTTGCTGTTTTAATGTGTTATTGTAATATGAATTATGTTGTTTTACTGACTGTATGTGATTTTATGGTTGGAAACCAGTCTGAGTCCCTCAAAAGAGGTGAGAAGGTCGGTATACAAAACTTTTAAATAATAAATAAATAAATTGGTTAGCATTTGATGGTCTGGCAGTGCCTGGGGCAATCTTTTGTTGAGATGCGATTAGATGTCTTGATTGTTTCCTCTCTGTTGTTTTGCTGTTGTAATTTTAGAGTTTTTTTAATACTGGTAGCCATAGATGCAGGCGAAACGTCAGGAGAGAATGCCTCTAGAACAGTGTTTCTCAACCTTCCTAATGCCGCGACCCCTTAATACAGTTCTTCATGTTGTGGTGGCCCCCAACCATAAAATTATTTTTGTTGCTACTTCACAACTGTAATTTTGGTACTGTTATGAAGCATCATATAAATATCTCATATGCAGGATGTATTTGATACAAATATGCGATATGCCCAAATTTGAATACTGGTGGGGTTGGGGGAGATAAATGATTTTGTCATTTGGGAGTTGTGGTTGCTAGAATTTATAGTACATCTACGATCAAAGAGCATTCTGAACTCCACCAATGAGGGAATTGAACCAAACTTGGTACACAGAACTCCCACGACCAACAGAAAATACTGGAAGGGTTTGATGGGCATTGACCTTGAGTTTTGGAGTTGTAGTTCACTTACATCAAGAGGGCACTGTGGACTCAAACAATGATGGATCTGGACCAAACTTGGCACGAATACTCAATATGGCCAAATTTGAATACTGGTGGGGTTGGGGGGGGGGGGTTGATTTTGTCATTTGGGAGTTGTAGTTGCTGGGATTTATAGTTCACCTACAATCAAAGAGCATTCTGAACCCCATCAACAATGGAATTGAACCAAACATGGGACACAGAAAATACTGGAAGGGTTTGGTGGGTATTGACCTTGAATTCGGGAGTTGTAGTTCACCTACATCCAGAGAGCACTATGGACTCAGACAATGATGGATCTGGACCAAACTTTGCATGGATACTCAATATGCTCAAATGTGAACACTGGTAGAGCTTGGGGGAAATAGACCTTGACATTTGGGAGCTGTAGTTGCTGGGATTTATAGTTCAACTATACTCAAAGTGCCCCTTGAATCCCACCAATCATAGAATAGGGCCAAACTTCCCACATAGAACCCCCATGATCAACAGAAAGTCCTGCAGGGATTTGGGAGGAATTGACAGTGATTTAGGGAGATGTAGTTCACCTACCTCCAGAGAGCACTGTGTTCCTAAGACCATCAGAAATATGTGTTTTCTGATGGTCTTTGGTGACCCCTCTGACACCCTCTCGGGACCCCCTCAGGGATCCCGACCCCCAGGTTGAGAAACGCTGCTCTAGAACATGGCCATATAGCCCGAAAAAATGTACAACAACCCAGTGATTCTGGCCATGAAAGCCTTCAACAAAAGGTGTCTGTTTTTTGTTGAGATTCAAACACCTCTGGGTCCTGTTTCTTCCTTGAAAGCAAAATCTTGACATAGCACACAGATTTGTGGCCTTTCCTTCCTCAAGGAGGTATCGTCGCAGGAAGCAGCGGGAAAGGAAGAGGAGCAAAACGCAAGCAACAGGAAGGAGGGTCTACAGGAACAGCCAAGAAAACCAGAAGGTAACAAGGATGGAGATGTTTGTGATGTTGCCTCTGTCCCAGGGGCGGCTCGTCCATTACGCGAAGTAAGCGGTTGCAGAACACCTTTTTTTAGTGGGGCGCAGAGGCGCCTCTGTAAATGCCCCTCGACCGCCACTTGAGGAGTGCCCCCTCGACTCACAACAGCCCTAGCAGTCCGGGGGGAGCCTCGGCGCTCTTGCTTGGCTGCCGGGCGATCCTCTTCCCAAAGGGTCTGGGCCCTTGAGCCTCACCTAGCCCCTCTCGTTCCTGCTCCACCCGGCCACCGGGTGCGCGAGCAGAGCCGGCGCTCAATCGTTCTCCGCGTTCGATCCCTTTCCCATGACCGGCTCCCTTTCCCGATAACCCGGCGCTCCTCCTCTCCTCTCCCCAATCTGCGGGTGGGCCAAGAGATTGGGACCAAGAGAGAGAGAGAGAGAGCCCCTCCGGCTGGAAGTATCTCCTACCTCCGCTCCCTCCTTTGTTTTTGCGCCTACCTTCAGGAAAGGTGGGCATCTCCACCTCTGTCTCTCTCTCTCTCTTTGTCCCAATGGCTGAGGAGAAAGTCAGGAGAAGAGGTGACTTTTGGTGCACACGTCGGGGTCTTCAGGCACGCCTCCGGACCCAAAGGGAGCAAGTGCGGCAAGTGTAGTTACTGGGATGTATAGTTCACCTACAATCAAAGAGCATTCTGAACTCCACCAATGATGGAATTGAACCAAATATGGCACACAGAACTCCCACGAGAAACAGAAAATATATATCAATGATTGGTTGGGGGGGGCGCCAAAATACTATTTGCTTACTGTTGAAAATTACCTAAGGCCGCCTCTGCTCTGTCCCCATCCATTTCATTGACTCCAGTAGTCCACAACACTTCTGTTTCCATAGACTTGTAATGTTTCTTTCTCCAGTGATCCTTTGTTCTCTGCTCAACGCCTTCCACCACACGGTTACCCTTTGGAACACCCTTTTAACAAAGATGGCTACCGCTACATTTTGGCAGAGCCGGACCCCCACGCACCTGATCCAGAGAAATTGGAGCTCGACTGTTGGGCAGGAAAACCCATCCCTGGAGATCTGTACCGAGCCTGCCTCTACGAACGGGTCCTCCTGGCTCTTCATGACCGAGGTACGAAGTCTCTGAACTTTAGCCTAATGAGCTTACGTTCAAGGCTATGCAAGATAGTGCAAAGCCAAATATAGGTTTTCTAACTGTGAAAACTTTGAACAGAGTCCTCAGTTTGCAAGGCTACGTTGTTATGCCCTTCCATGTCTTAATGTTATTGTTCCTAGAATCAAAATCATAGACTTAGGAGAGTTCTTACCCACCCCTTGCTCATCTATATAAATAAAAATGTAATGTTCGTTTGTGGTATTAACACAAATCAAAAACCACTGGGGGAATTGACACCAAATTTGGACACAAGAAATCTAACAACCCATTGTATGTTTTTCACTAAAAAAATGATTTTGTCATTTGAGAGTTGTAGTTGCTGGGATTTATAGTTCACCTACAATCAAAGAGCATTCTGAATCCCACCAACGATGGAATGGAACCAAACTTGGCACACAGTTCTCTTCCTTCTCTCTGGAAGGGTTTGGTAGGCAGTGTCCTTTGGTTTTGGAGTTGTAGTTCACCTACATCCAGAGAGCACTGTGGACTCAAACAAGGATGGATCTGGACCAAACTTGCCATGAATACTCAGTATGCCCAAATGTGAACACTGGTGGAGTTTGGGGGAAATAGAACCTTGACATTTGGGAGTTGTAGTTGCTGGGATTTGTAGTTCACCTACAGTCAGAGAGCATTCTGAACCCCACCAACGAATTGGGCCAAACATCCCACATAGAACCCCCATGATCACCAGAGTGGGCCACAGCAATGCGTGGCAGGGAACGGCTAGTTGCATAATATAAACATTGCATATTTAATCATTACATTTGGCCAGGCCTTAGTTTTAAATACATCGTGGTGTTATTGTCTAATGTTTATTGCTATCGTTTTAATGTTTATTGCTTGTTTTATGAGTTTATTGTTGTATTTGTTATGCTGTTGTTTTATTGATGTGTTGGGCCTCGGCCTCTTGTAAGCCACACGAGTCCTTCGGGAAATGTTAGCGGGGTATAAATAAAGGTTTATTGTTATTATTATTATTATTATCCAACAAGGAGTTTCCCAGTGCATCCATACTGTAGAGTTAATGCAGTTTGACGGCACTCAAAGCTCAAGGCTATGGGATCATGAAAGGTGTAATTTTACAAGGTTTTTAGCTTATTTATTTTATTTATTTACACCATTTCTACCCCGCCCTTTTCACCCCCAATGGGGGGACACAGGGCAGCTAACATGGGCAACAATTCAATGCCATAATATCAATACAACAATGTAAAATCAAATACATAGCAAATTAAAAACAATAACATTAATTAAAATCGCATACTCATATATAACATAGTCGCCTAATCAAAGGCTTATCTGCCAAAGAGAGATACTGACAATAATAATAATAATAATAATAATAATAATAATCTTTATTTATACCCCGCCACCATCTCCCCAATGGGAACTCAGAGCATGACCGCATCTCCGTATACGAACCCACACGATCTCTTCGATCATCTGGAGAGGCCCTGCTCACGATCCCTCCTGCGTCGCAAGCGTGATTGGTGGGGATGAGGGACAGGGCCTTTTCCGTGGTGGCCCCCAAACTCTGGAACTCTCTCCCCAAGGACATCAGACAAGCCCCAACATTGGCAGTCTTTAGGAAGAGCTTGAAGACATGGTTGTTCCAGTGTGCCTTCCCAGAATAGGAAACTCCAAGCATCATGTTCCAAATGCACTTTACTAGAGATTTAAGATTGTCTGCACACCGCACCTATCTCCAAAAACCTATCCATTTCACCTGTCTTGCCCAGCATTTTTAAATTTTTTAATCATTACATTTGGCCCGGCCTTAGTTTTAAATGTGTCGTGGTGTTATTGTCTAATGTTTATTGCTATTGTTTTAATGTTTATTGCTTTGTTTTATGAGTTTATTTATTGTTGTATTTGTTATGCTGTTGTTATATTGATGTGTTGGGCCTCGGCCTCTTGTAAGCCGCACCAAGTCCTTCAGGAGATGTTAGCAGGGTATAAATAAAGGATTATTATTATTATTATTATTATTATTATTATTATTATTACATGGGGCCAAGCCCAGACAACATATTACATCGAAATAAAACCAAAACATAAACAACAACCAACATCATCAAAATTACATAAAAACTTATGAATACAATAGCAAAATTACATTACAATAAACACAGTCGCAGTAACAGCTGCGACAAGCTGGAATGTGTTCAGAGGAGGGTGACTAAAATGGTCAAGGGTCTGGAGAACAAGCCCTACGAGGAGCGGCTTCAAGAACTGGGCATGTTTAGCCTGAAAAAGAGAAGGCTAAGAGGAAACATGATAGCCATGTATAATTATGTGAGAGGAAGTCATAGGGAGGAGGGAGTGAACTTGTTTTCTGCTGCCCTGGAGACTAGGACGCAGAACAATGGCTTCTAACTGCAAGAAAGGAGATTCCATCTGAACATTAGGAAGAACCTCCTGACTATGAGAGCTGTTCAGCAGTGGAACTCTCTGACCCGGAGTGTAGTGGAGGCTCTTTCTTTGGAAGCTTTTAAACAGACTGGATGGCCATCTGTTGGGGGTGCTTTGAATGCAATTTTCCTGCTTCTTGGCAGAATGAGGTTGGACTGGATGGCCCATGAGGTGTCTTCCAACTCTGTTATTCTATGAGTGCTTGGACCTTGCCAAACTGTAAATCCTCTGATTCTATACCATTGAGCCATGGCAGTTCACGTCGTTTCCAGCCTCTTTTGTAGCCTTGGCTGGGATAGATGCTGGAATAAGTATATGTTGTGTGTGTGTGTTTATTCAGGGCAGGAGATAGTTTTGACTATGAGTATTTCTATCTTGTTTACTCTTAAATAGTGGCTTCCAAAGTCTATGATTTGAGAAGTTGAAATTCAGGAGAGGCTTAGTGTTATTGTCCTTTTTCTTTCCAACAACTGCAGCACCTCAGTTGAAGATCTCTGATGACAGGCTCACCGTCATAGGAGAAAAGGGCTATTCCATGGTACGGGCCTCCCATGGAGTACGAAAGGGAGCCTGGTACTTTGAGATTTCTGTGGATGAGATGCCTCCTGAAACAGCTGCCAGACTTGGTTGGTCACAGCCACTGGGTAAGCCTGGAGGCTTGTTTCTTATTTACTTTCATGGCTTTCTTTCCTTCCATTATGGACACAGTGTGAGTAAGGTGGCCTTTTGCAGCTGGCAGATGGTAATTTTGTCAGCGCCGAATGTGTTTAAGTGCAGGCCAAGGTCTTTAGGCACTACACCCAGTGTGCCAATCACCACTGAGACCACCTTGACTGGCTTGTGTCAGTCCCCATCTGAACATGAGGAAGAACTTCCTGACTGTGAGAGCCGTTCAGAAGTGGAACTCTCTGCCCCGGAGGGTGGTGGAGGCTCCTTCTTTGGAGGCTTTTAAACAGAAGCTGGATGGCCATCTCTCAGGGGTGATTTAAATGCAATATTCCTGCTTCTTGGCAGGGGGTTGGACTGGATGGCCCATGAGGTCCCTTCTAACTCTTTGATTCTATGCAGTTCGATCTTTAAATCTTCCTATCATGTCAGCTTTTCCAGTTGTTTCTCTTCAATCCTGCTGTCACCTGGGATTGCAACATCGACAATCCATACTTGGTTTTTTGACAATAATTAATAGTTAATAATAATAAATATTTTTAATAATAAGTTGTTATTGTTATTATTATTATTGTGGAACCCCCAGTGGTGCAATGGGTTAAACCCTTGTGCTGGCAGGACTGCTGACCGAAAGGTCGGTGGTTCGAATCTGGGAAGTGGGGTGAGCTCTTGTCTGTCTGTTCCAGCTTCCCATGCAGGGACATGAGAGAAGCCTCTCACAGGATAGTAAAACATCTGGACGTCCCCTTGGCGATGTCCTTGCAGATGGCAAATTCTCTCACACTAGAAGTGATTTGCAGTTTCTCAAGTCGCTCTTGACACAGAAAAAAAATTATTGTGGGTGTGAAGGCAGCTCTCAATGTGAACTAAAACAACAGGTTGCCATGCTGCTCCAGACCCATGACTAAAATAATCAAGGGTCTGGAGAACAAGCCCTATGAGGAGTGGCTTAAGGAGCTGGGCTTGTTTAGCCTGAAGAAGAGAAGGCTGAGAGGAGATATGATAGCCATGTATAAATATGTGAGAGGAAGCCACAGGGAGAAGGGAGCAAGCTTGTTTTCTGCTTCCCTGGAGACTAGGACGCAATGGAACAATGGCTTCAAACTACAAGAGAGGAGATTCCATCTGAACATGAGGAAGAACTTCCTGACTGTGAGAGCCGTTCAGCAGTGGAACTCTCTGACCCGGAGTGTGGTGTGGCTCCTTCTTTGGAAGCTTTTAAACAGAGGCTGGATGGCCATCTGTCAGGGGTGATTTGAATGCATTATTCCTGCTTCTAGGCAGGGGGTTGGACTGGATGGCCCATGAGGTCTCCTCCAACTATTTGATTCTATGATTCTATGCTTCGTTGTAGTACACAAGGAACTTAGAAGAAGCCCATTGGCATAGGAGGAGCTCCTGCTAAGAAGGAAAAAAGTAGTTCCCAGTCTTATTTAAAATTACCTGATTTCTTCTCTTGGAAAAATCTCTGGGAAATCTCTCTGTGTAGATAATTTCAAGGTCTTTCCTATAATATCTGGTTTTCCATAGGGAATCTACAGGCTCCTTTGGGCTATGACAAATTCAGCTACTCCTGGCGTAGCAAGAAAGGCACCAAGTTCCATCAGTCCATCGGTAAACATTATTCCTCAGGCTACGGCCAAGGGGATGTGCTTGGTTTTTACATCAACCTGCCTGAAGACACAGAAACTGCCAAATCGCTCCCAGATACTTATAAAGATAAGGTAAGGCAACTCCTATGCAGTCTATAGCTTCTTGGTGGATATTTTTGAATTGAAGTGGGTTGGGTGAACAAGACTGAGCTGTGTTTATCAAGACAGCTCAGGCTTGATAAACTCCAGGTATGCTGGTACGGCAAATTTATTTGCTTTGTATTAAATGTTTGCTTGCAGTCCAAGATTTCAGGGACTCTGCAGATAGGTGGCTTCCTTTGGTTGCAGTCGTAGGGCAAGTACCTGTCCATCATCATTAAGTTTTGGTTCCGCCCCTTGCTCAGGGCAATTGGGAAGGGAAGGGAGCCATTTTTAAGTCAGTCTCAGCAAGGAAAGCTAATGTACAGGACGTGTGCAAGCTTCCCCTGTACAAAAGCTTCAACCCTTAAGACTTTCCAGGGGGAAACAGTCTTAAGAGTCTCCAAAGATTTCCAGGAAAACAGCCCTAAAGACCAAAGAACTCCAGCTGGAGAATATCTAAACCTTTACTGGTAGGTCCACTCGGTGTTTTGAGACGCAGTTCGACCCGGTAGCTGAGCCCACATCAGTAAGGGTTCGATTACAGTCAGCCTGGGAGAAGTTAAAAAAGGGATTTTCCTTTAAAGTAAAGAATAAGTTATTGAAGACAGTTGCCTGTCCTTCGTGGGCAAGATTAGGAAGCCACCAGTTGCATAAAGCCTGGAAGCATTTGTTTAGCTTTATTGAAGACAAGAGAAGTTTCTGTTGGATTGTTCATTAATAAAAGACTTTGTTATACTTCACAAGCCATCTAAAGACTATTTGTGGTGGAAAACCTCTGAGAACTTCTCCTTGGGCCCCCTGGCTTCCCGCTGGGCAAAGGTTGCACGTCCTGTTCTAAAGGAAATTCTTTACAGGCCCAGCGCGCAACAGAACACCAGGTGTCATTATTACAAATTACCATAGGATTCCATGCCAAAATCATGTCTTTGTCATCGTTGCTGGTTTGCATTTATAATAAGCCCTTGGTGTCCACTTGGGTTTTGTTCCAGGACTTCTTTGGTGCTCAAGTCCCATTATATACAATGGCATAGTACAGTGATGTCTTATATAGCATTAAGGCTTGTTTGGGGAGCTTTATTTTAATATTTTCAAGCTTTAGGTGGTTGAATCCATAGTCTCAGAATCCATCAATGTGGCCGAGTGCATTTATTTGTGCCTGCAAGTAGTATTCTTTTTTCACATAACCTGATAATACTACTTTTTGATATATTAGAAGAGATGTGTGTGGATGGCTTAAGGATGACCATCATGCCTGAACAAGGGTCAGAATTTGGTCTCTGAAATCACAATCCAGCATTCTCATAAGAGAAGGCACCGCAATGAAGCATCTAAAGTATTTATATAAGACCCAATGTAGTGTGGTTTTGGTATTTTTCAGTATTTTTCGGTTGCAAGTCTTGTCTTATTATTTTTGGGACACTTTTATGCCCCTGTTCTTAGGCTTTGATCAAGTTCAAAAGCTACCTATACTTTGAAGAGAAGGACTTTGTGGATAAAGCAGAGAAGAGTTTAAAACAAGCTTCTGGAAGCCAAGTAAGTTGGTAATTTGGAATAATAATAATAATAATAATAATAATAATAATAATAATAATCTTTATTTATACCCCGCCACCATCTCCTCAAAGGGGACTCGGAGCGGCTTACATGAGGCCAAGCCCAAAGATACATTACAGCAACATAAAATATAAACAACAAAATAACATCACAATAAAAACTAAATCCACCAAATGCTTGTTTCAGACATTAAAAACAGTTTTGGTAATAGACAGATGTCTTGTTAATATTTATTTATTTATTTATTTATTTATTTATTTATTTATTTGGGGTGCTTCTACCCCGCCCTTCTCAACCCCCTAGGGGGGACTCAGGGCGGCTTACAAAAGGCACAATTCGATGCCCGACAATTCACAAAAATACAATATACAAAATTACAATATAACGTCAACAATTATAACTAATTAAAACAATCAAACAGCAATAAAATCATATTGTGGTCAATGTTCGCCAATTCATAAATCCATGATCCGTCTAGCATCGTCATTGTCCTTTCCTACTCTGGTCGTCATTGTCTTTTGTCCAACTGCCAGCTTACCCAAAGGCCTGGTCCCACATCCAGGTTTTTAACTTCCTTCTGAAGGAGAGGAGGGATGTTGATAACCTAATCTCCCTGGGGAGTGCATTCCACAGGCGAGTGGCCACCATCGAGAAGGCCCTGTCCCTCGTCCCCACCAGTCTCACTTGTGATAAAGGTGGGGCCGAGAGCAGGGCCTCCCCATAAGATCTTAAACTCCGAGGTAGGACGTAGAAAGAGATGCGTTCGGACAGGTACGCTGGGCCGGAGCCGTATAGGGTTTTGTAGGTCAAAACCAGCACTTTGAATTGTGCTCAGAACTGGATCGGCAGCCAGTGGAGTTGACATAACAGAGGGGTAGTATGCTCCCTGTATGACGCTCCGGTGAGTAATCTAGCCGCCGCCCGCTGGACTAATTGAAGTTTCCGAACAGTCTTCAAAGGCAACCCCACGTAGAGCGCGTTGCAGTATAACTACAGATCAAGATTTGCCCACTCCCCTGTTTATCATCGGTACTAAACCTTCCTAATGTATTTAATATTTTAATGTTGCCTCCTTTTAGAGGTTCAGCATTAAACATGTATACTATAAAGATGCATTCCTTATTCTTGTTTGGGCAAGTCATTTGGCCACATATATACACATATACATAAATACATACACACGTATATACACACACAAAACACATAAACAGACTGGGCCACAGCAACGTGTGGCAGGGGATCAGCTAATCTATATAAAGAAAAATGTAATGTTTGTTTGTGGGATTAACATAACTCAAAAACCACTGGACGAATTGACACCAAATTTGGACACAAGACACCTATCAGGCCAACAAGTGACCATCACTCATAAAAACACTGGAAAAAAAAACAGCAGAAGAGGCTTAAAAGCAAAAAACAATTATTAAAAATACATTACAACGCATGCGCGTAACCACACACACATATCTATATAAATAAAAATGTAAACTTCGTTTGTGGGATTTAACATAACTCAGAAACCACTGGTCGAATTGACACAAAATTTTGACACAATACACATAACAGTCCAACTAGTGTCCACCACCCCTAAAAACAGACACACAGCCCCAGCGGAACAGACTTAAAAACCCAAAAAATACACCAGAACCCCCCTGCACGGTGGGAAGTGTCCCCCTGTCTGGCTGACTGGCCAACCAGCAGCAGGCCCTGCCCCACCCCTGGATTAGCCAGGGCTGGCTCCCCACCTCGCCCCAGCAACCTTTGCAGGGATTTTCATGGATTTTCACTTATCACAGGTGGTCCTGGAATGTAACACCCGCGATTAGTGAGGGAACACTGTACCATTAAGCACTTTGGTGAGGCTTTGCAGACATAAGGACTTTTGCATTATGTTATCTTCTTGGTTACTGAGCATCTCGCCAAAAACGAGTCAGCTACGGAGGCAGATTTGAAGGCTGAGCTTTGAAGGCCACGTGTTTGCAAGATGCATATTTTTTGCTGAAACAAATGCTTAGGCCTCCCCTCCCCTCTTTGACCTATAATAGAACAGCTTTCAAAGGAATTTGTGTGCTTAATTTCTCTTTTGAGTCCATCCCGCTAGTCAATTTCCTAATCTGAAAGAAACAAGAGGAAAGGACACTTGGTGGGTACTGACTACTGCTGACTCTTTCAGATCATCTTCTACAAAAATGGTGCCAGTCAAGGAGCTGCATACAAAGATATTTTTGAAGGCGTCTATTTCCCTGCTGTCTCGCTGTATAAAGGCTGCACGGTAGGTAGAAATCAAACTGATCTGAATTCACTTCTTTCTTATGTGATAACTGCCTCCTTCCTGCCTGGGGGGATCCTTTGTTAAGAGGTGTTAGCTGGCCCTGACTTTTTTCTGTCTGGAATTCCCCAGGCTTTGAAACTGCAAGGCTATTCAATGTTAATCAAGTTGGCCAATTGCAACATTCACATTTGCCTCAAGCAGACAAGAGTTCTTTCACCCACCCTGGACATTCCTACTTGCCTCGTTTTCAACAGACCTCATAACCTCTGAGGATCCCTGCCATAGATGTGGGCGAAATGTCAGGAGAGAATGCTTCTAGAACATTCTGCAGCTAGGATGTTAAGATCATCTGAGTAGGCCCTGCTCTCGATCCCACCTGCGTCACAAATACATTTGGTGGGGACGAGAGACAGGGCCTTCTCAGTGGTGGCCTCTCAGCTATGGAACACCCTTCCTAGGGAAATTAGATTGGCCCCCTCTTTGTTCGCATTCCGGAGGAAAATTAAGACCTGGTTGTTTGAAAAGACAATGTAACAAACATAGGAATATGGAACGATTGGATGATGAGATTGGATCTTGATTTGAACTAAGAGACACTAATGAGTTGTGTTTTATTGACCTTGTAATGGTTGTATATAAGCCATTGTTTTAGTTGTTTCAAATGTTTTATGACTTTTTGAGCATTGAATTTTGCCACTGTGAACCACTTTGAGTCACCCATAGGCTGAGAAAAGCAGTATATAAATATCTATATAGATAAAAATGTAATGTTCGTTTGTGGGATTAACATAACTCAAAAACTACTGGACGAATTGACACCAGATTTGAGCACAATACACATATCAGGCCAACGAGTGACCCTCACTCATAAAAACAATGAAACACACAGCAGAAGAGACTTAAAAAGCCAAAAACAATGCATTGCAATGCATGCGCAAAACCACACACACACATATATATATATACAAACACACACACACATATATATTAGGCTTGGTTGATCAAGAAAAAAATGGTTCTAAACTCGTTTCGTATATATCCAGCTGGTGGCTGGATTTTGAAATTATTTCCGAAATTTTCTTTAAAAAAAGATTGGAAATACCAGGAAATACGAATCGCTTCATTTGTTTAGTTAATGGAAGGTGCTCCTCCCTCCCTCCAGAACCATTAAAATCCCGCAGTTTCCCTTCCTTCCCTTGCGGCGAGCTTCTCTCCCCTTTCCTTCCCTTCCCGGCAAGCTGTCCGTCATGCAGAAGGGAGAGGTGGGCGTGGCCAAGCACAGCCCTCCTTGGAAGTCGCTGGGGGCGTGGCCTTCAGGAACAGCTGTTCTTACCCACCTCCTTCCTCATTGCATCGGCGGCTTTGCGAGTTGGGCTTTGCAAGGTGGGCGTGGCTATGCCCAGCTCTTCCGCACTGCCGCTTTTCGCCAGGGAGGTAGCCATGCCCACTTCACAAAGCCCACCTCGCAAAGAGGAAGGAGGTGAGCGTGGGTAAGAACAGCTGTTCCTGAAGGCCATGCCCCCAGCATTTACGATTCACTGCCGGAAGTCGTAAGGAAGATGGCGGACGCGGCTTCGATATGGCAAAAACACTTCCGGGTTGCCAAAATGCGTTGATATCGCTTCTAAAGGTATTTTATTTACGATTTCATAACGATATTAGAAATTAATGAGCTGGATCAACCAAGCCTAATATATATATATGCACACACAAAACACATATACACATACTGAGCCACAGCACGCATGCGCAAACCACATATATACACAAATACACACACATATTTTATATAACATGTAATATATATATTACATGTAATATTACTAATAATATTACAGTATAATGTTATAGTACAATATAGCAATATATAATATTAATATTGGGAGCCCCTAGTGGCGCAGTGGGTTAAAGCGCTGAGCTGCTGAGCTTGTTGATCGAAAGGTCGCAGGTTCGATTCCAGGGAGCGGCGTGAGCTTCCGCTGTCAGCCCTAGCTTCTGCCAACCTATCAGTTCGAAAACATGCAAATGTGAGTAGATCAATAGGTACTGCTCCGGCGGGAAGGTAACAGCACTCCATGCAGTCATGCCGGCCACATGACCTTGGAGGTGTCTACAGACAACGCTGGCTCTTCAGCTTAGAAATGGAGATGAGCACCACACCCCAGAGTCAGACATGACTGGACTTAATGTCAGGGGACAACCTTTACCTTTTTTAATATTAATATTGTGCTATGGTAATAATATAATATATTGTATTTACATTTTACTTGTAAGCCACTCTGAGTCCCCTTCGGGGTGTGAAGGGCGGCATATAAATATCGTAAATAAATAAATATACACAAATATATACACATATATACACACACAAAACACATATACACAGAGTGGGCCACAGCAACGTGTGGCAGGGGCAGCTAGTAAATAACTAAACAAACAAACAAATAAATAAAGCCCAGAAAACTCACAGTAAACCAGTGATTCCAGCCATGAAGGCCTTCAGCAACACAAAACTCTTCTTAGAGGCTATATTAACCTGTCTTTTCATGCTGGCTGCTTGCGCTTTAGCAACATTTAAGAACATTTGCAAACTGCAAAAGGTTGTTCTAATGCCACCCAAAGCTATGTTCCATCTTGTTTTTTCTCATGTTTCTGCAAGGCAGCTTCTTCATTTGCCTACTTACTATAGTTTCTGTTAGAACAAGCCTATGATTGCTCCATACGTGTGTTGTTCGTAATGCTTTTTCTTTCGTGCGAAACAGTGCCTCAGTGTAGATCTTTCCCCTTTCATAGGTCTCTATAAACTTCGGCCCTTACTTCAAATACCCTCCAAGAGATATCAGTTACCGCCCGGTAAGTAAGATAATAGTTTGAACATAATGCCCTTCATGGAGATGTAAACTTAACATTGTATTTGCCTCCCAAAGTTTGAGCAAGATGGAGAAAAGCAGAAGTAGGCTTCCATTTGGAGGGAGTGGGGTTGATCCTTGGCAGCATCCTGGGAAAAAGATAATTTCCTTTATTTTAAACTAGCTTGGGTACCCAGCGTTACCCGTGTTACTTGAAAAAAGTCGATATTTTAATGGTACAAAATGCATATGTAATATAATATATTGTATATACATATAATATTTATAATACTATAATGTAATGCAATATACTGTATATACTTGAGTATAAGCCTAGTTTTTCAGCCCCTTTTTTAGGCTGAGAAAATGTCCCTCGGCTTATACTTGAGTCAAGGTTATTTATTATTTTACTCTGCTATTAGTATTATTTTTATTACATTTATTATTTTACTCTATTATTATTATGACATTTACATTATTTTACTCTATTATTACTATTATTACATTGATTATTTTACTCTATTATTATTACATTTACATTATTTTACTGTATTATTATATTTAGTGCATTTATTATTTTACTCTATTATTATTATTACATTTATTATTTTACTCTATTATTATTATTATTACATTTACATTATTTTACTCGATTATTACTATTATTACATTGGTTATTTTACTCTATTATTATTACATTTACATTATTTTACTGTATTATTATATTTAGTGCATTTATTATTTTACTCTATTATTATTATTACATTTACATTATTTTACTCTATTATTATTATTACATTTATTATTTTACTCTAATTATTATTATCATTTATTATTTACTCATTTATTACTATTTTATTACATTAGTATTATTTTTATTACATTTATTATTTTACTCTATTATTTTTATTACATGTATTATTTTACTCTATTATTATTACATTTACATTATTTTACTGTATTATTATATTTATTGCATTTATTATTTTACTCTATTATTGCTATTATTACATTTATTACTTTATTATTATTACTATTATTATTAAATTTTCATTATTTACTTTATTATTATTTTTATTACATGTTATTATATTTATTGTTTTATTCTATCATTATAGGTAATAGGTAAGCACATTACCTATAATGAAGGAGGTTAGAATAATGATTGAATCAGAGTTGGGCAGTCTTATCTTAAATTACAGTTTTGTGTAAATACTCAAAAACATTTAACCTACTGACGATTACCAGTAGCAGCTACATTTCTCACCCTCGACTTATACTCGAGTCAATACTTTTTCCAGTTTTTGTGGTAAAATTAGGTCTCTCGGCTTATATTTGGGTCAGCTTATACTCGAGTATATACAGTAATACTAATAATAATATGATATTATAATTATATATTTATATTACATGTAATATTACTAATAATATTACAATATAATGGTGTAGTACAATATAGTAACATTTAATACTGATGTTGTACTAGGCTAATGATATAATATATGTTATGTATATATATATATATATTGTAAGCTGCTCTGAGTCCCCTTCGGGGTGAGAAGGGCGGCATATAAATATCGTAAACAAATAAATAATGTTGTGGATTAAGTACAACTCTCATTATGGCAGGTTAACCCCCAAAAAACTCCATCAGTACTTAAAGATTGTTATGTTGGGCAAGTTTGCTCTAGATGCATCATCGGAGAGTTTCAGTGTGCTCTCTGGCCATAGGGTCAGCTACAACTCCCAGTATGGTGAGCCACTCCCTTCCAACTCCTCCAGTAGTTTGAGTTAGTCATGGGGTTCTGTGTGCCAAGTTTGGTCAGGCCCATCATTGCTGGAGGTCACAGTTTCTCTAGTTGTGAGTGAACTACAACTCCCAGAAAGGAAGGTCAGTTCCACCCAAACACCTCCAGTAATCACATTTTGGCATATCAGGTATGTGTGCCAAGTTTGATCCAGATCCATCAGTGTTTGGGTTCATGGTGTTGTCTGGATGTAGGTGATTTGGGTTCACAGTGTTGCCTGGATGTAGGTGAACTACAACTCCTATACATCATGGTGAATTCTTCCCAAACCTCTTGTTCAGTTGCTGATCAATTCCTGCTTGCCACAGGAAAGGGTTAAGGCAGAGGCAGTAGGTGGGGTCTTGCAAATTCCACAGCAATGGAAAGAGTAAGGAACCCTGGGATGTCCAAAACAGAACATCTAGGATAAAATTGTCCCCCAATGGAAGCATTCTTTGGGTGGTGGGCAGTACGGTGTTTGGAGAGGACATTGGCAGGGGTTGGGCTACATGTTCCTGGCGCCCGCTGTAACCTGAAATGTCCTTGGAGGGAAGGCTTTTGGTGGCTCTTCAGCACTGTGGGTTATAGTTGTTTGTGGAGGTGGGAGTCTGTGTTAGTGGACACCTCCACCACATACACACATACACATTTCCACTTTTGTTATGTATATAGATATAGAGATATAGAGATAGATAGATAGATAGATAGATAGATAGATAGATAGATAGATAGATAGATAGATGGAATTATTATTATTATTATTATTATTATTATTATTATTTATTTGATCAGTCATATGACCATTTCAAAATAGAACATGAGTAAAAAAACAAGGCAAAAAGGTGAGGACAGCAGCTGATAGATAGATAGATAGATAGATAGATAGATAGATAGATAGATAGATAGATAGATAGATAGATAGATAGATAAAAGGGATTAATTAGGCCGTTGCCAGAGTCCATGACCGATACCTATCTCAACCATATTAGCACTTGGGTATATACTATTTTTGGAGTCCCAGGTGGTGCAGCGGGTTGAACTGCTGAGCTGCAGAGCTTGCTGACCGAAAGGTCGGCAGTTTGAATCCGGAGAATGGGGTGAGCTCCCGCTGTTAGCTCCAGCTTCTGCCAACCTAGCAATTCAAAAACATGTAAACATGAGTTGATCACTTCGGCAGGAAGATAACAGTGCTCCATGTAGTCATGCCGGCCACATGACCTTAGAAGTGTCTAAGGACAACGCCGGCTCCTCAGCTTAGAAATGAAGATGAGCACCACCCCCTAGAGTCGGACATGACTAGAATTAATGTCAAGGGGAAACCTTTTCCTTTAGCTTTACTATATACTGTTTTGGAAGCTGAGTGTAAACAATTTGTCAGTCCTGCGACGAGCCAAGGTCTGAAACTTGCGGTCAAAGATGGCATTACCTGAACACGCAAAAAGATTGCTTGATTTCCGTGTGTGTTTGGTTTGTTTTGTTTTGTTTAGCATTTCCATAAGTACAAAGACATAAGCAGAGGCTGGATGGCCATCTGTCGGGGATGCTTTGAATGTGATTTTCTTGCTTCTTTGCAGAGGGTTGGACTAGGTGGTCCATGAAGTTTCTTCCAACTCATGATTCTATCATTCTGTAAGGAACTCCCTTTAAAGGTGGTTATGGGCTACAGTTCACACATTTCACAAGTATTGGCATAAATACCTGGCCTTTCCTTGTCACCTTTGCATTAATCCGGGATTTTTCCCCCCTTTCCCCGCTCTTTTTTGTTCCCCTTCCCCCCATTTTCCCCTTTCTCCCCCAGATCAGCGACATGGGCTGGGTCGCTGTGGTAGAGCATACTCTGGCCGACGTCCTGTATCACGTCGAAACAGAAGTCGACGGGCGACGGAGCCCACCTTGGGAACCTTGAGAGACGTCAGGAGTATTTTTATTTTTATTTTTTACAAAACCAAAACAGTGTCACTGGATGTAAAGTGGGAATAGAATAAATCTGTTTTTTTTATATATATAATAATAAAAAATCTGGAGTTGTTCAGACTCTCAATTGATTCTTTCTGGCAACATGTGGGGAGGGTCGATCATTTGCTTATTAATAAAAAACATTTCAAGGTGAAGGAAGAAACAGAAGTACACTTACTCCAAATAACAATAAACACAGTCGCAGTAACAGCTGCGACAAGCTGGAATGTGTCCAGAGGAGGGTGACTAAAATGGTCAAGGGTCTGGAGAACAACCCCTATGAGGAGCGGCTTAAAGAGCTGGGTGTGTTTCGGCTGAAGAAGAGAAGGCTGAGAGGAGACATAATAGCCATGGATCAAGATGTGAGAGGAATTCATAGGGAGGAGGGAGCGAACTTGTTTTCTGCTGCCCTGGAGACTAGGACGCAAAACTACAAGACAGGAGATTCCATCTGAACATGAGGAAGAGCTTCCTGACTGTGAGAGCCGTTCAGCAGTGGAACTCTCTGCCCCGGAGTGTGGTAGAGGCTCCTTCTTTGGAAGCTTTTAAACAGAGACTGGATGGCCATCTGTTGGGGGTGCTTTGAATGCAAGTTTCCTGCTTCTTGGCAGGGGGTTGGACGGGATGGCCCACGAGGTGTCTTCCTAGTCTACGGTTCTATGAAATATTACATGTGAAAGGTAATATAACTAATATAATATAATATAATATAATATAATATAAATTGGGTGAAGAGAGAGGAGGCCAGGTGACAGTTCCACCTTGTCTCCTGCATATGTCATAAGTTGGGGACCCCTCTCCCCAGAACCTGCTACCGCTCTGGGACAGAGTGAAGAGAGAGGGAACCAGGGGACAGTTCCATCTTGTCTCCTGCATATGTCATAAGTTGGGGACCCCTCCCCCCCCACCACCAACTACCGCTCTGGGACAGTGTGAAGAGAAAGGGGGCCAGGGACAGTTCCACCCTGTCTCCTGCATATGTCATCAGTTGGGGACCCCTTCCCCCCCTCCCAGCACCAACTGCCGCTCTGGGAGAGTGAAGAGAGAGGGAACCAGGGGACAGTTCCATCTTGTCTCCTGCATATGTCATCAGTTGGGGACCCCTCCCCCCACCACCAACTGCTGCTCTGGGCCAGAGTGAAGAGAGAGGGGACCAGGGGACAGTTCCACCCTGTCTCCTGCATATGTCATCAGTTGGGGACCCCTTCCCCCCCTCCCAGCACCAACTGCCGCTCTGGAACAGAGTGAAGAGAGAGGGAACCAGGGTACAGTTCCATCTTGTCTCCTGCATATGTCATAAGTTGGGGACCCCTCCCCCCACCACCAACTGCCTCTGGGCCAGAGTGAAGAGAGAGGGGGCCAGGGGACAGTTCCATCTGTCTCCTGCATATGTCACAGAAAGAAGACATCAGCTGAAATGCTGATGACCAGAGATAAATGATTAACTCTGTAGTGGAAACCAACATGGTTACATGTCATCAGCTGGGGACCCCTCCCCCAGCACTAACTGCCGCTCTGGGCCAGAGTGAAGAGAGAGGGGGACAGGGGACAGTTCCATCTTGTCTCCTGCATATGTCATCAGTTGGGGACCCCTCCCCCAGCACCAACTGCCGCTCTGGGCCAGAGTGAAGAGAGGGGGGGCCAGGGGACAGTTCCATCTTGTCTCCTGCATATGTCATCAGTTGGGGACCCCTCCCCCCCAGCACCAACTGTTGCTCTGGGACAGAGTGAAGAGAGAGGGGACCAGGGAATAGTTCCACCCTGTCTCCTGCATATGTCATCAGTTGGGGACCCCTCTCCCCAGCACCAACTGCCGCTCTGGGACAGAGTGAAGAGAGAGGGGACCAGGGAATAGTTCCACCCTGTCTCCTGCATATGTCATCAGTTGGGGACCCCTCTCCCGGGCACCAACTGCCGCTCTGGGACAGACTGAAGAGAGAGGGGACCAGGGGACAGTTCCACCCTGTCTCCTGCATATGTCATCAGTTGGGGACCCCTCCCCCCCCCCAGCACCAACTGCTGCTCTGGGCCAGAGTGAAGAGAGAAGGGGCCAGGGGACAGTTCCATCTCGTCTCCTGCATATGTCATCAGTTGGGGACCCCTCTCCCCAGCACCAACTGCCGCTCTGGGACAGAGTGAAGAGAGAGGGGACCAGGGAATAGTTCCACCCAGTCTCCTGCATATGTCATCAGTTGGGGACCCCTCTCCCCAGCACCAACTGCCGCTCTGGGACAGAGTGAAGAGAAAGGGGACCAGGGAATAGTTCCACCCAGTCTCCTGCATATGTCATCAGTTGGGGACCCCTCTCCCCAGCACCAACTGCCGCTCTGGGACAGAGTGAAGAGAAAGGGGACCAGGGAATAGTTCCACCCAGTCTCCTGCATATGTCATCAGTTGGGGACCCCTCTCCCCAGCACCAACTGCCGCTCTGGGACAGAGTGAAGAGAGAGGGGACCAGGGAATAGTTCCACCCAGTCTCCTGCATATGTCATCAGTTGGGGACCCCTCTCCCCAGCACCAACTGCCGCTCTGGCCAGAGTGAAGAGAGAGGGGGCCAGGGGACAGTTCCACCTTGTCTCCTGCATATGTCATCAGCTGGGGACCCCTCTCCCCAGCACCAACTGCCACTCTGAACTGAAAGGTCCACAGGTTCGAATCCGGGGAGCGGGGTGAGTTCCCGCTGTTAGCCCCAGCTTCTGCCAACCTAGCAGTTCAAAAACATGCAAATGTGAGTAGATCAATAGGTAACACTTCTGCGGGAAGGTAATGGTGCTCCATGCAGTCAGTCATGAGCTTGGAGGTGTCTACGGACAATGCTGACTCTTTGACTTAGAAATGGAGATAAGCACCACACCCCAGATTCGGACATGACTAGACAATGTCAGGGGAAACCTTCACCTTTACCTTTATTATTTCATTATCTTGGAAATACAGTTAACAGGGCGACAGCATCACAAGAATATTAACTCTTTTGAGGCAAATGCCGATTTTGTGCCTTAATGGAAGACAGAAGAGTGGAACCATAACACTGATCACAGGTTGCAACACGGAACAACTATGTTTTGGATGTATTTTCAGTTCTGTGAACATCAAACCTTATTCTTTCAGGCAAAGACAAAACATAAAGGAGTCTCACACAACATGCTAAATCACTTTTTTTCCATTTCTTTTTATTTTCAGAAGTGTAGATTGACAAAGTTGGAATTGCAAAATCACATCCTTCTGTAACTTAAGACTGTTCTCTGCAGTTGTCTGTTGCAAAGACACCTTGGATTGTAAAAACATATATTTTTTGTCTCGTAACTTGAAATAAGACTTTACACTGCACGATTTCCAGTGTTTTAACTGAAGCAAACCAAGTAGGCAAAGCAGAAGTATTTTGCTTCTGAGATACCTGGCTCTCATAAACATCATAAATGCAAAGTAAAAACGACTCTTAATGTTACTGGATTTTTCGAACGTCACAAAAAAGAGTTTTTTTTAGACACAGAGAAAGCATTTGATGACTGGGTTGCTGTGAGTTTTCTGGGCTGTGTGGCCATGTTCCAGAAGCATTCTCTCCTGACATTTCACCCACATATAAATAAATAAAGAGCAACACTCAAACAGGGGAATTCCAGACAAGAAAAAAATCATGGCTCCCAAAAAGGATTCCCTCCAGGCAGGGAGCAGCCAGGCTTTGAAGCTGCAAGGCAATTCAATGCTAATCAAGGTAGCCAATTGCAACATTCACACTTGGCTCCAACAGACAAGAGTTCTTTCTCCATCTTGGACATTTCACAGAGATATAAACCCCACTTGCCTAGTTTCCAGCAGACCTCACAACCTCTGAGGATGCCTGCCATAGATGTGGGCGAAATGTCAGGAGAGAATGCTTCTGATAATTTCAATTTCCAACAATAAAAATCAGGCAAGGAACAATCTGGGCCAGCTAATCACCTCTCAACAAAAGATTCCCCCAGGCAGGAAGCAGCCAAGCGTTGAAGCTGCAAAGCTATTCAATGCAAATCAAGGTGATCAATTGCCTCCAACAGACAATAGTTCCTTCTCCCACCCTGGACCTTCCACAGATATATAAACCCTACTTGTCTAGTTTTTAACAGACCTCACAACCTCTGAGGATGCCTGTCATAGATGTGGGTGAAATGCCAGGAGAGAATGCTTCTGCAACAGGGCCATACAGCTTGGAAAACTCACAGCAACCCAGTGATTCTGGCCATGAAAGCCTTTCATGGAATTACATATTTCAAGTACTGAAGATAATTTGCTTTGTCTTTTGTTGCCTAAATTATACTATATATCACGGAGTGGAGTGAGCTACTGTCTGTCAGCTCCAGCTTCCCATGCGGGGACATGAGAGAAAGCTTCCCACAGGATGGTAACACATCCAGTTTTCCCCCTGAGCAATGTTCTTGCAGATGGCCGATCCTCTCACACCAGAAGCGACTTGCAGTTTCTCAAGTCGTTCCTGACATACACAAAAAAACTATGAAGGAACTAGGCAAGCTCCTGGAGCATAAATATAAACAGTTGAAGAGTTAAGTTTGGCTGATACATGCCATCATATTTCCCATTTCTACATATTGTTGTGGAAGTTGGACAGTGAAGAAAGCTGATAGGGAAAGAAAAAATCAACTCTTGAAATCTGATACCCAAAAGTATTAAATAATTTTCATTATAGTTAAGCATTGTGTGGCTAAAGCCCTATTCTGTCTTAATAATGTGTCTTTTTGTCTCCACCTTTTCCCCCCAGTTCTCTCCATTCTTTAATCTTTTGAATGCATATTTATTTTGATTGCAAATTAGATGGTTAGTATTAAAAATCAATAAATACATTGAAAAAAATATTAAATAATCCATTGTTTAGCTACAAACACAAGAAAATAATAATAAATAAATTGATTTTTTTTAATAGAAAACTAGGAATAGTGGCATACCTTCAAGGATTCGGGTAGCATGAAATACTACTAATAATACTGAAATAAATATCAAGGGACAACAGGGAGAAGATGCCAATTCCTCAATTGGTTTCCAGGATGAAGGATCAGATTCTCAAGGTGAGTTTACTGGGTTTTGGTTTAAGTCGGGGTTTCTCAACCTGGGGGTCACGAGGGGGTTTCAGAGGGGTCGCCAGAGACCACCAGGCTGGAGGAAGCCTCACGCCAGCAAGTCCCTTCAAGGCAAGGGGATTCTGTGTGCAAAGTCTGGCCCAATTCTATCATTGGTGAGGTTCAGAATGCTCTTTGATTGTAGGTGAACTATAAATCCCAGCAACTACAACTCCCAAATGACAAAATCAATCCCCTCCCAACTCCACCAATATTCAAATTTGGATGTGTTCACGTTTGGGCATATTGATAATTATTGCCAACTTTGGTCCAGATCCATCATGGTTCGAATCCACAGTGCTCTCTGGATGGAGGTGAACTACAACTCCAAAACTTAACGTCAATACCCACCAAACCCTCCCAGTATTTTCTGTTGGTTATGGGAGTTCTGTGTGCCAAGTTTGGTTCAATTCCATCCTTGGTGGAGTTCGGAATGCTCTTTGATTGTAGGTGAACTATAAATCCCAGCAACTACAGCACCCAAATGACAAAATCAATCCCCTCCCAACCCCACCTGTATTCAAATTAGGGTGTGTTCACATTTGGGCATATTGAGTATTCCTGCAAGTTTGGGCCAGATCCAACATTGTTTGAGTCCACAGTGCTCTCTGGACATAGGTGAACTACAACTCCAAAACTCAAGGTCAATGCCCACCAAACCCTCCCAGTATTTTCTGTTAGTTATGGGAGTTCTGTGTGCCAAGTTTGGTTCAATTCTATCATTGGTGGGATTCAGAATGAGCTTTGATTGTAGGTGAACTATAAATCCCAGCAACTACAACTCCAAAATGTCAAGATCTATTTTCCCCAAACTCCACCAGTGTTCACATTTGGGCATATTGAGTATTCATGCCAAGTTTGGATAGTTGGTGGAGTTCAAAATGCTCTTTGGTTGCAGGTGAACTATAAATCCCAGCAACTACAACTCCCAAATATCAAGGTCTATTTTCCTGAAACTTCACCAGTGTTCACTTTTGTCCATACTGAGTATTCATGCCAAGTTTGGTCCAGATCCATCATTGTTTGAGTCCACAGTGCTCTCTGGATGTAGGTGAACTACAACTCCAAAACTAAAGGTCGATGCCCACCAAACCCAATTCCCATTGGTCCTGGGAATACTGTGTGCCAAGTTTGGCCCAATTCTATCACTGGTGGAGTTTGGAATGCTCTTTGATTGTAGGTGAACTATAAATCCCAGCAACTACAACTCCCAAATGACAAAATCACCCCCAACCCCACCAGTATTCAAATTTGGGTGCATCAGGTATTTGTGCCAAATTTGGTCCAGTGAATGAAAATACAATCCTGCAAATCAGATATTTGCATTACGATTCATAACGGTGGCAAAATGACAGTTATGAAGTAGCAATGAAAATAATGTCATGGTTGGGGGTCACCACAACATGAGGAACTGTATTATAGGGTCGCGGCATTAGGAAGGTTGAGAAACACTGGTTTAAGTGGTTGAATTTTGAGCTGCTAGTTATTGACTTGGGGAACAGACTTTGCTTGACTTTAAAGTATATCCTTAATGGGAAGGACCAGAGGAGTGGCCTATAAATAAGATTATTATTATTATTATTATTATTATTATTATTATTATTATTATTATTATTTGAAACACAACAAGATGAGTCCACAGCAGACAAGATCACTCTGTTGGCTGTTGTATTGGATCACACATCGGACACTTCCCTAGTGTCTAGGACTGTGTGATGTATTGGTGAATAATGCGTGCAGATCCCATTTAAAGTGGCCTTTTGCAGCTGACAGATGGTAATTTTGTCAGTGCTGATTGTGTTTAAGTGCAGGCCAGGGTCTTGAGGCACTGCACCCAGTATGCAAGGCATAAAGCTATGGTTCCTCACCACCTCCTGAATACCAGATACAATATGGTGCATCACACAAATAGATCGGTCAGTGGAATACTGCTTGAATTAGACTAGTGCAGCATTTCTCAACCTAGGGGTCAGGACCCCTGGGGGGGCCGCAAGGGGGTTTCAGAGGGATCGTGAGGGGGTGTTAGAGGGGTCGTGAAAGACCATCAGAAAATGCAGCATTTTCTGTTGGTCATGTGGGTTCTGTGTGGGAGGTTTGGCCCAATTCTATCTTTGGTGGGGTTCAGAATGCTCTTTGATTGTAGGTGAACTATAAATCCCAGCAACTACAACTCCCAAATGTCAAGGTCTATTTTCTCAAACTCCACCAATGTTCACATTTGGGCATATTGAGTATTTATGCCAAGTTTGGTCTGGATGTAGGTAAACTACAAGTCTGGATGTAGGTGAACGACAACTCCAAAATGTAAGGTCAATATCCACCAAACCCTTCCAGTATTTTCTGTTCGTCATGGAAAGTTCTGTGTGTCCAGATTGGTTCAATTCCATCGTTGGTGGAGTTCAGAATGCTCTTTGATTTTAGGTGAACTACAAATCCCAGCAACTACAACTCCCAAATGATAAAAATCAATCCAGCCCCCGACCCCACCAGTATTCAAATCTGGACATATCAGGTATTTGTGCCAAATTTGATCCAGTGAATGAAAATACATTCTGAGTATGAGATATTTACATTACATTTTAAACAGAAGCTGGATGGCCATCTGCCAAGGCTGCTTTGAATGCAATATCCTGCTACTTGGTAGGGGGTTGGACTAGATGGCCCATGAGGTCTCTTCCAACTCTATGATTCTATCATTCATAGCAGTAGCCAAAATTACAGTTACGAAGTAGCAACGAAAATAATTTTATGGTTGGGGGTCACCACAAAATGGGGGGCTGTATTAAGGGGTCACGGCATTAAGAAGGTTGAGAACCACTGGACTAGTGATTCCCAACCTTTTTTTTTTTTTTTTGACCAGGGAACACTCTCCAACATGAGAATTCCCATGACCAACAGGAAATACTGGAAGGATTTGATGAGCACGGACCTTGGGTTTTGGAGTTGTAGTTCACCCACATCCAGAGAGTACTGTGGACTCAAACAATGATGGATCTGAACCAAACTTGGCACAAATACTCAATGTGCCCAAATGTGAACACTGGTGGAGTTTGGGGAAAACAAACGAATCAGTTTCTGGTTTGGTTATTTGGGGTTCATGGGGTTACTAGGAGTGCTGATTCAGAAAATCACATTGGATAGACCACATCAGCTCTAGTTTTGGATACAGAATATATGCCATCTAGTAATCATCATCTGCTCGTTCACAGAAAACCATATTTAATAATCTAGCGCTGATGTGGTCTATCCAAGGCAGTTTTCTGAATCAGCAACCCAAATAACCTCAGCAACAGCCCCAAAAACAAACTGCTAACGTGGAGCGTTGCAACGGTGTAGTAACGGTGAGAGGCAGATCATATTTTAGTTCTTGCGTAACGCAGGTTGGGAATCACTGAATTAGTCTGAACAAGCAACTACACTCAGTATCTCTACTACTCAATTGTCTGGGGGAAGATGCAAGATACCACTTCTTAGTATGTACTTCAGGAAACCTACAAGCAACCTGCCCCCATCAGAAAATATTGTTGTGCCATCTTCCTAGAGCAGTGGGCTCCACTTGCTCCAGAAAGATGCCAGCATGAGTGGTTTTGGAGTCTGAAGTCGTCATCCGGAAGCAGCGGGAGGTGGAAAGGTTCGACTTGCTTCAACAGGATACAGCCTGTGCAGAGGTGGAATTGCTGGTCAAATGGTTGCGAAGATGGTTAGCAAAATCCACCTGCGTCTGGGAAAGGACTTGGTTGATTATCGTCTTCGGCAGCCATCCCTGGAATCAGAAGGACAAGAAGTTGTGTTAAATGACAAATCTGTATGTCGTATGGACAGTGTTAAGTCAACTGAGCTCCTAGGATATTTAACAAGACCTGCTATATTATCACAACTGTTGCACCACCTGACATCCGCCGAGAAGTAGCAGCCAATAGTGAAAGGACCAAGGCAGAGACATCTCCAGCTCATCCCCTGTTTGGGTATCAGCCAGCACGTCAACGACTTAAATCAAGATAGTTTTCTAAGATCTACAGAGACACTCGCTGGAACACCTCAGCAAGCGAGAGTCCAAAAGTGGGAGGCTCAAACCCAGAACCTCAAACCGTGGGTGATGCCAGATGAGAGACTCCCCCCTGGGCACACAGACGACTGGCCGACTTGGAAGGCGCTGAACAGACTGCACTCTGGCACCACGAGATGCAGAGCCAATCTTAAGAAATGGGGCTACAAAGTTGAATCCACGACATGCGAGTGCAGAGAAGAGCAAACCACAGACCACCTGCTGCAATGCAACCTGAGCCCTGCCACATGCACAATGGAGGACCTTCTTGCAGCAACACCAGAGGGACTCCAAGTGGCCAGATACTGGTCAAAGGACATTTAATCAACTACCAAGTCTGCAAAATTTGTGCTCTTTTTCTTTTTCTGTTTGTTTGTTGTGTTCTGTTAGAAATGTAATACAATGGTATGGTTGCTGATGACACAATAAATAAATAAATCACAACTGTTATCAGTTCCAATATTCCTGCTTCTTGGCAGAATGGGGTTGGACTGGATGGCCCATGAGGTCTCTTCCAACTCTTTGATTCTATGATTCTATGACACCAGAGTGCAAACTGGACAGGACCTCTGTACCTTGCACTGTTTGTGTAGAAGAGAGAGTTTCAGCAGGTATTCCATGTCACCTGGTTGTGTGACAACGAACATCTGTGAAATTTCCCTCTTCTATATAACTATACCACCACCACCACCCCCAGTGGTGCAGCAGGTTAAACTGCTGAACTGCTGAACTTGCAGACCGAAAGGTTGGCAGTTCAAATTCAGTGAGCGGGGTGAGCTCCCACTGATAGCTCCAGCTTCTGCCAACCTAGCAGTTCGAAAACATGCAAATATGATCAGATCAATAGGTACTGCTTCAGGGGGAAGGTAAAGGCATTCCATGCAGTCATGCTGGCCATATGACCTTGGAGGTGTCTACGGACAATGGCGCTTCAGCTTACAAATGGAGATGAGAACCACCCCTCAGAGTTGGACACGACTAGACTTAATGTCAGGGAAAAACCCTTACCTTTAACTATATGGGAATCTTCTATGGGAAACCCTTCAGAATATGGTCTGCACCATTTTGTGCCATAGCCGGTCAATTTCCATGTGTTTTTTTAAAATGAGCATTTGTGCCAAATCCCCTGGCATATATGTTGTTTCAATTAGGCAGAGATTTCACTATATTGTTCATTCTGACAAAATGTTTTGGAATAGTTGTATTGCAATAGTTGTTTGCTTACACTCTGACAATGGGCCTGACACTTGGGATCCTTTTTTTGTGGGTCCGTAAGGTGCGACTTGAGAAACTGCAAGTTGCCTCTGGTGTGAGAGAATTGGCTGTCTGCAAGGACATTGCCCAGGGGACACTCAGGTGTTCTGATGTTTTACCATCCTTGTGGGAGGCTTCTCTCATGTCCCCGCATGGGGAGCTGGAGCTGACAGAGGGAGCTCATCCACGCTCTCCCCAGATTCAAACCTCCGACCTGTCGGTCTTCAGTCCTGCCAGCACAAGGGTTTAACCATTGTGCCATGGGGGGCTCCTGGCGCTGCCATAACATATCAAAAGGTCAACTGTTTGGGGAGTGGGGTGAGCTCCCATCTGTCAGCTCCAGTTTCTGATGTGGGGACATGAAAGAAGACTCCCATAGGATGGGAAAACATCCAGGCGTCCTCTGAGTAATGTCCTTGCAGACGGCCAATTCTCTCACACCAGAAGCGACTTGCAGTTTCTCAAGCTGCTCCTGACACGAATTTTTTTTTGTAACTAGTCGTAACTATTACATAATAATACACGAGACAGAGGTGGCCACAATCTGTTTTGTTTTCTGGTTTCCAACCCTTGATATGTATCTGTTTGCACATGGATGTTTTCCCATAGCGCTATGAAAATATCCTCAGCAGGTTGCATCAGCAAGGAGATGACCACACAAAAGCTGGCTGGGAAATCTCTCAGATAAAACCTGTTTATGTAGTGATTTATCCATTTCCTCCATGGTGGTTACCTTCAAGTCAATGCTGAGAAGCCAGGTCAGTTTGGTCTGGTAGGGATCTCCAGCGAGTGGCCGAAGGACCATACACGTGGGACCATTTTCGCCTCTGTAGGAGAATGGGAGAGCATCATGTCAGTACAGTATATCAAGTGCATTCCCATTGCAAGCGTTTCCAAAAAAATCCATATATTAGGGTAACTTGTATAGAATTGTGAAGTGGCATCTTCAAACAAAAAGCCTTGGGTTAAATTGCTACCTTAAGTTAGTATTTCAACTCATTTGTTTACTGTTGTCCCATGTTTAGTGCCAATCTTAGGTACATGTTTACACCATCTATGATCTGAGACTTTTAACAGGAGCTACTAGGAATTGAAAGAGAACGAAAGACTCTAAAGCAGTGCTTCTCAACCCTCCTAATGCCATGACCCCTTAAAATAGTTCTTCATGTTGTGGTGACCCCCAACCATAACATTATTTTCGTTGCTACTTCATAATTAGAAGGAACTTCTTGACCATAAGCACTGATCAACAGTGGAACTCTCTGCCTCAGAGTGTGGTGGAAGCTCCTCCTTTGGATGCTTCTCAACCTTGCTAAAGCCGTGACCCCTTAATATAGTTCCTCATGTTGTGGTGACCCCCAACCATAACATTATTTTCGTTGCTACTTCATAATTAGAAGGAACTTCTTGACCATAAGCACTGTTCAACAATGGAACTCTCTGCCTCAGAGTGTGGTGGAAGCTCCTCCTTTGGATGCTTCTCAACCTTGCTAATGCCGTGACCCCTTAATATAGTTCCTCATGTTGTGGTGACCCCCAACCATAACATTATTTTCGTTGCTACTTCATAATTAGAAGGAACTTCTTGACCATAAGCACTGTTCAACAATGGAACTCTCTGCCTCAGAGTGTGGTGGAAGCTCCTCCTTTGGATGCTTCTCAACCTTGCTAAAGCCGTGACCCCTTAATATAGTTCCTCATGTTGTGGTGACCCCCAACCATAACATTATTTTCGTTGCTACTTCATAATTAGAAGGAACTTCTTGACCATAAGCACTGTTCAACAATGGAACTCTCTGCCTCAGAGTGTGGTGGAAGCTCCTCCTTTGGATGCTTCTCAACCTTGCTAATGCCGTGACCCCTTAATATAGTTCCACATGTTGTGGTGACTCCCAGCCATAACATTATTTTCATTGCTACTTCATAATTAGGAAGAACTTCTTGACCGTAAGCACTGTTCAACAGTGGAACTCTCTGCCTCAGAGTGTGGTGGAAGCTCCTCCTTTGGATGCTTTCAAACCAGAGGTTCTCAACCTTCCTAATGCCATGGCCCCTTAATATAGTTCCTCATGTTGTGGTGACCCCCAACCATAACATTATTTTCGTTGCTACTTCATAATTAGGAAGAACAGTGGAACTCTCTGCCCCGGAGTGTAGTGGAAGCTCCTCCTTTGGATGCTTTTAAACCAGTGGTTCTCAACCTTCCTAATGCCGCAACCCCTTAATATAGTTCCTCATGTTGTGGTGACCCCCAACCAGAACATTATTTTCGTTGCTACTTCATATTAGGAAGAACTTCTTGACCATAAGCACTGTTCAACAGTGGAACTCTCTGCCTTGGAGTGGGGTGGAAGCTTCTCCTTTGGATGCTTTTAAACCAGTGGTTCTCAATCTTCCTAATACCACGACCCCTTAATATAGTTCCTCATGTTATGGTGACTCCCAACCATAACATTATTGTCGTTGCTACTTCATAATTGGGAAGAACTTATTGACCATAAGCACTGTTCAACAGTGGAACTCTCTTCCTCGGAGTGTGGTGGAAGCTCCTCCTTTGGATGCTTCTCAACCTTGCTAATGTCGTGACCCCTTAATATAGTTCCCCATGTTGTGGTGACCCCCAACCATAACATTATTTTCGTTGCTACTTCATAATTAGAAGGAACGTCTTGACCATAAGCACTGTTCAACAGTGGAACTCTCTGCCTGGGAGTGTGGAGGAAGCGCCTCCTTTGGATGCTTTTAAACCAGTGGTTCTCAACCTTCCTAATGCCGTGACCCCTTAATTAGTTCCCCGTATTGTGGTGACCTCCAATCATAAAATTATTTTTGCTGCTACTTCATAATTGTAATTTTGCTACTGTTATGAATCATAATGTAAATATCTGATATGCAGGATTATTTTCATTCACTGGACCAAATTTGGCACAAATAACCAATACGACCAAATTTGAATACTGGTGGGGTTGGGGGGATTGATTTTGTCATTTGGGAGTTGTAGTTGCTGGGATTTATAGTTAACCTACAATCAAAGAGCATTCTGAACCCCACCAATGATGGAATTGAACCAAACTTCGCACATAGAACTCCCATAACCAACAGAAAATACTGCAAGGGTTTGGTGGGCATTGACCTTGAGTTTGGGAGTTGTAATTCACCTACATCCAGAGAGCACTGTGGACTCAGACAATGGTGGATCTGGACCAAACTTGGCACAAATACTCAATATGCCCAAATGTGGACACTGGTGGAGTTTGGGGGAAATAGACCTTGACATTTGGGAGTTGTAGTTGCTGGGATTTATAGTTCACCTACAATCAAAGAGCATTCTGAACTCCACCAACGATGGAATTGAACCAACTTGGCATACAGAACTCCCAAGACCAACAGAAAATACTGGAAGGGTTTGGTGGCATTGACCTTGAGTTTTGGAGTTGTAGTTCACCTACATACAAAGGCACTGTGCACTCAAGCAATGATAGATCTGGACCAAACTTGGTATGGATACTCAATATACCCAAATGTGAACACTGGTGGAGTTTGGGGAAAATATACCTTGACATTTGGGAGTTGTAGTTGCTGGAATTTGTAGTTCACCTACAATCAAAGAGCATTCTGAACCCCACCAATGATAGAATTGGGCCAAACTTCCCACACAGAATCCCCACGAGTAACAGAAAATACTGTGTTTTCTGATGATCTTTAGCGACCCCTCTGACACCCCCTCGCGACACCCACAGGGGTCCCGACGCCCAGATTGAGAAATGTTATTTTAAGACAAATTTTAGGGGGAAACCCTTCCATTAAGTAGTGGCCTTTCCCGCACCCTGAGAAAATGCTGCTAGAACACAGCCATACAGCCTGGAAACTACGCAACGCTCCAGTGTTTCCGGACGTGAAAGTCTTTGAGAATACAATGGGTTTAGAGCAGGTACGGGCAAATTTGGCCCTCCAGGTATCTTGGACTTCAACTCCTACAATTCCAGCTGTTAGGAATGGTGGGAGCTGAAATCCAAAACACCTGGAGGGCCAAAGTTTGCCCATGCCTGGTTTAGAGTTGTTCAAATGCTCTTTACCTGATGACGCCTTTTTGCTCAGGCATTGCTGCATACTTGGTGGACATGCCGGCAAGAACGCATGTGGAGCCCCGTCTCTGGGCGCAGCGCACGCTCACGAAGTCCCGCGGGCCGACTATGTTACCGGGAGTTGGAGCTGAAGTTTCATGCGTGATCACAGTATCCTTCCCAATTTTCTGCAGAATCTATGGAAAATGTTCCAGAAATAGACAGACTGATATTATCTCTCGATGGGTCAATTCCTTTCCTCTTTGGCAACTGTGTGCCATTCAACTTATCCACAGGACATACCAAAATCCATAATGTTCGTCCCCAAACCTACCCCCGCCTTATATAGGAGTATATACAGTATTATTATTACTAGTAGTAGTATTAGCCCCCAGTGGCGCAGTGGGTAAAACTCCTGTGCCGGCAGGACTGAAGACCAACAGGTCGCAGGTTCGAATCCGGGGAGAGGCGGATGAGCTCCCTCTATCAGCTCCAGCTCCTCATGCGGGGACATGAGAGAAGCCTCCCACAAGGATGATAAAAACATCAAATCATCCTGGTGTCCCCTTGGCAACGTCCTTGCAGACGGCCAATTCTCTCACACCAGAAGCGACTTGCAGTTTCTCAAGTCACTCCTGACACGACAAAAAAAAAGTAGTAGTAGTATTAATGCCCTGTTTGATCTCAATTTATATTACAAATATAACCACATAATTTAAAATATACAAAAAAATGCAAACATTGAAACAGAACTAAACATAACAATATTAGTACAGGGTAGCTGTGAGTTTTCCGGGCTGCCTGGCCATGTTCCAGAAGCATTCTCTCCTGACGTTTCACCCACATCAATGGCAGGCATCCTCAGAGGTTGTGAGGTCTGACAGCCTCAGAGGATGCTCTCGCAACCAGGGGCGGCTCAATCCTTACGCAAAGTAAGTATTTGCAGTATAGTTGATTTTGTCCAGGGGCGCTCTTGAGGCGCTCTTGAGGGAAAATAGACCTTGACATATGCGAGTTGTAGTTACTGGGATGTATAGTTCACCTACAATCAAAGAGCATTCTGAACTCCACCAATGATGGAATTGAACCAAATATGGCACACAGAACTCCCACGACGAACAGAAAATATATCAATGATTGGTTGGGGGGGGGGGGGCGCCAAAATACTGTTTGCTTACCGTTGAAAATTACCTAGGGCCCAACCTTTGAGGATGCCTGCCATAGATGTGGGTGAAACGTCAGGAGAGAATGCTTCTGGAAAATGGTCATACAATTTGGAAAACTCACAGCCTTGAAAGCCTTTGGCAAAATATTACAATTCAGAGGTGCTGAAAACTGGCTAGCAAAGCTGTACAAAGACCAAAGAATGACACCAACAGACTTCAGAGGAGTCGTGTATGCAATATTCCTTGCAAAGGTGAATCCTAATGGTGAATTTTCCCCTTCCTGCCAATGTGGTTATCTGAGTTTGCGCGTATACACTGGTTCCCAACCTTTTTTTGACCAGAAACCACTTTGACCAGGGATCACTCCCCAACATTAGTACTAAAAAGGTTACGAATTAGTTTTTGGTCAACTTTAGATTGGTTATTCGGGGTGTCAATTCAGAAAATTGCTTTGGAAAGACCACATCAGCTCTAGTTTCTGATACACAACACATGCCATACAGTAGTCACCATCTGCTCATCCACAGAAAACTATATTTAATAATCTATAGCTGCGGACCTTATTTTTGTTGGAGCTCAGCCTGTGATTGTGTTGCTTTGGATGTGGGGAGTGATGTCAATGAGTTGCAAGATGAGTTTCAAGATGGCAATGCTTTGGTCAGTGATCTTGATGCAGATTGACCAGGAGATCCCTGTTCAACGTGTAGTTTCCCATGGGAATGTCCCTGAGGGGTGTGGAGATGATGGTGTACTTTCTGAATTGTTACCAGAGAGTTCCCATGATAGAGAACATGAAAACAGCTCAGCACCTGGCCCAGCTGCAGAAATTAATGAGCAAATAGATAGACAAGAGTCAAAACAGGAGAGCCGAACAGTGGCTTCGGCGGTCTGCCAGGCTCCGAGAGAAAAAGATAAGAACTTCTCAGCTAAAGCAAAACCAATTTTTGAGTGCTAGAGACATAGCAAATGAGGAGATTAAAGTCCCAAGTACAAGATATATAGTCAGATGAAGCATCATTTGGAATCTAGTCAAGATCTTGTCCTTGTTCATGGAAGCTTTGCTTGGAAAATTCATGTTTTAAGTGCCTTTGGTTCATGGTTTTGCTTCTTGGATTTTATGCTTCTATATTCATGCCTTGGATACATGTTTCCTGATTTCTTGCATTTTATTTGAGAAGTTTTGACTTTGTTTTTATCGACTTTGCTGGACTATGTACCCTGGACTACTTTGTTCCTGCTTATCTTTCTACCTAATTGGATTTACTTATTTCTTTAAAGTGTTTTTTTTTACTTTACTGCTTTTTAATTATCTTCAATAAAATGATTGTTTTTTATCGAACGGTGTGGTGTTTAAAGTCAGAGGGATTTTCCTGTCCTGAAGCGCAACAATTTTAGGTCTCGCGGCCCATGTGTGCATGTTTACCTTGATTTCCTTGATATTTGGGTTCCAGTCTCCCATCTGCTCCATCCTTTCCACCAGCTCACCATAGACACAGTCCAGGGGTTGATTAACTACCACCTCAAGGCGAAAGACCTTTCCCACATCTGGGAGGACTTTGCTTAGGACTTTATCACCATTGCCCTGCAGGAAAAGAAGAAGAAGAGATAACAGGAAAATTGAGAAGTACTGATCTAACCAAATCCACAAAAGTTCAGAATGTTGCTATGTGTTGCAAGTTGCAATTCATCTAAATTGCAATTTAGCTACCAGATCGATACCTGCAGGAAGAATGTATATGCAAACTCCAGTGATTACCAGTCTAAACATACATCGGGTTGTTGTAGGTTTTTTCGAGCTATATGGCCATGTTCTAGGGGCATTCTCTCCTGACGTTTCGCCTGCATCTATGGCAAGCATCCTCAGAGGTAGTGAGGTCTGTTGGAACTAGGAAAATGGGTTTATATATCTGTGGAAAGACCAGGGTGGGACAAAGGACTCTTGTCTGTTGGAGCTAGGTGTGAATCTTTCAACTGACCACCATGATTAGCATTTGATAGCCTGGAAGTGCCTGGAGCTATCTTTTGTTGAGAGCTGATTAGATGTCCTTGATTGTTTTCCCTCTGCTGTTTTGCTGTTTTAATTTTTTAATACTTTTTTTTAATACTGGTAGCCAGATTTTGTTCATTTTCATGGTTTGCTGGGCGTTTTGGAGTTGTAGTTCACCTACTTCCAGAGAGCACTGTGGACTCAAACAATGACGGATCTGGACCAAATGTGGCACGGATACTCAATATGCCCAAATGCGAACACTGGTGGAGTTGGGGGAAAATAGAACTTGACATTTGGGAGTTGTAGTTGCTGGGATTTATAGTTCACCTACAATCAAAGAGCATTCTGAACCCCACCAATGATAGAATTGGGCCAAACTTCCCACACAGAACCCCCATGACCAACAGAAAATACTGTGTTTTCTGATGGTCTTTGGAGACCCCTCTGACACCCCCTCGTGACCCACCCAGGGGATGTACTGGTGTCCACAGAGGCGGCCCTAGGTAATTTTCAATGGTAAGCAAACAGTATTTCCCCCCCCCCCCCAACCAATCATTGATATATATTTTCTGTTTGTCGTGGAAGTTCTGTGTGCCATATTTGGTTCAATTCCATCATTGGTGGAGTTCAGAATGCTCTTTGATTGTAGGTGAACTATACATCCCAAATAACTACAACTGTCCAGAAAACCTGTCCAGTGTTTTCTGTTGGTTATAGGAGTTCTGTGTGGCAAGATTGGTTCAATTCCATCATTGGTGGAGTTCAGAATGCTCTTTGATTGTAGGTGAACTATACATCCCAGTAACTACAACTCGCATATGTCAAGGTCTATTTTCCCCCAAGAGCACCTCAAGAGCACCCCTGGGCAAAATCAACTATACTGCGAATGCTTACTTTGCGTAATGGGCTGAGCCGCTCCTGATTATATAAACAGATCTCACCATCTTTCTCCTTCTTCTCCTTCTACCTATGATAAAATGAGGAGGTGGAGATTAAATACAAAAATTTTGAATCATAAAGAGATAGTGGATAGAGTGAAAGCAGAATGGCAAGAAACTTGGGGTTTTAATGAAAAGGAGGTAACAAAAGGAGTGCTATGGGACACAATGAAAGCGGTGGTGAGAGGGTTATGTATAAAAGAGACAACTAATCTCAAAAAAAGGCAAGAAGAAAGGAAAAGGAATCTAGAAAAAGAAATAGAGGAGCTTGAAAAAGAATATGTAATAAAGAGAGATACACAAATTTATGCAAGGTTGAGAGCAAAAAAAAGAGGAACTGGATAAAATGGAAATAGATGAAGTACAAGAAAATTTAATATATTTAAGGAGGGAATATTTTGAATTTAGTGATAGGAATTCCAAGATGTTAGCTAAATCCACACAAAAAAAGAAAATGGAAGGAATGATAAATATGATAAAAGATAAAACAGGTAAATTATGTAGAACTATGAAAGAAAAATTGAAGGTATTTGAAGAATTTTATAATGAATTATACCAAACAAAAGCTAGCTCTATAGAGGCAATTGAGCCTGGAACCTCAGGTCTCGGCGGTGGCTGGGAGAGCTTTCGCACAATTAAAACTTGTGCGCCAGATGCGCCCGTACCTTGGGAAGTCAGATCTGGCCACGGTGGTCCACGCTCTTGTTACATCCCGGTTGGATTACTGCAACGCGCTCTACGTGGGGTTGCCTTTGAAGACTGCTCGGAAACTTCAACTAGTCCAGCGAGAAGCAGCCAGATTGCTCACCGGAGCGGCGTACAGGGAGCATACCACCCCCCTGTTACATCAGCTCCACTGGCTGCCGATCCAATTCCGGCACAATTCAAAGTGCTGGTTTTGACCTACAAAACCCTATACGGTTCCGCCCAGCGTATCTGTCCGAATGCATCTCCCTCTACGTCCCACATCGGAGCTTGAGATCATCTGGGGAGGCCCTGCTCTCGACCCCATCACTATCACAAGTGAGGTTGGTGGGGACGAGGAGCAGGGCCTTCTCAGTGGTGGCCCCTCACCTGTGGAACTCACTCCCCAGAGAAATTAGATCAGCAACCTCCCTTTTGGCGTTCAGGAAAAAACTGAAGACCTGGATATGGGACCAAGCTTTTGGACATTCTGGCAGCTAAGGAAAGATCTGACGATAAACATGGGCGAATGGAATGGAATGGATATACGGAACTCTGAACACTGAGCATGAGATTGTTTTGCTATTTTATTATGTACTAATGTTTTTAACTTGTTAACTGTTTAAATCGTTTTTAGGTATTGTTTGTTTATTGATTCAGGCATCGAATTGTGCCTTCGTTTGTAAGCCGCCCTGAGTCCCCCCTCGGGGGTGAGAAGGGCGCGGTATAAGTAACTGAAATAAATAAAGCAATTAGGAAATATGTGGAGGAAAATTGGGAGAGTAAGTTGGAGGAGAAAGATAAAGAGCTACTGGAACAACCTATTAAGAAGACAGAAATAGAGGAAGTTATTAAGAATTTAAAAGTTGGGAAAGCCCCAGGTTTGGATGGCTTAGGGTCAGAATATTACAAAAGCTTTAGAGAAGTTTTAACCCCAAAATTATTAGAATTGTACAATGGAATAATGAAGGGAGATAAAATACCAGAATCATGGAGGAGATCATTAATAATATTAATACCTAAACAGGATAAAGATTTAACAGACCCGGGGTCATATAGACCTATATTGTTAATCAGGACGCAAAGATTTTATCCGCTATAATAGCCAATAGAATGAGTAAATGCATGTATAAGTATATAAAAAAAGATCAGTGTGGATTTGTAAAAGGTAGACAAATGTCAAATTTGATAGGGAGAGTATTAAATAAAATTTGTTTGGCTAAAGAGGGTAAGAAAAAAGTAGGGATATTATCATTAGATATTTTTAAAGCGTTTGATTGCGTGGAATGGGAGACAGTAAGGGAAATAATGAATAAATTTGGAATGGGAAATAGAAAAGCAAATGATTTTACTTATGTTTTGACTACTATAGCCCTACATAGCTGGCCCTCCTGTGCCCAAACCCAACCTACCAGGACGGTCTCCGTTTTCCATCCATCCTGTCCTTCAAGGATTTTCAGGGACTTCTGAAGGGCCTCCTCGCCTTGCTTAATGTAGGACATCTCCATGTCACTGAAGGGGTTCTCTTCCAGCCTAGAACCTGTAACATTGGGTTGGGCAAGGTTTTCAGGTTTAAATGTTTGCAAACAACCGTTTCCGTCCAGAGATTCCGGCATCCAAACAAAGAAAAGGACGACAAATCCTATTACTTACTCAACAAAGAACTCCTTCTGCGGACCTGGTTGATCCACTTCGCGGGGCCAGGTTGCGAAAAGGCTAATTTGTTCAGCTCCTGCACGATGGTGACGGCTGCCCTTTTTTTCAAGCCTGAGAGGAGGAAATAATAAATACAGCAGAGATGAAAAGGGACCTGCGAAGAACTCTTCTTGGATCTATAAAAGCAAGGGATCAACAATGACCCTGAGAGATCAACCATGACCCTATCAAGAGGGCTGTTGATAGCTAGCCTGGCTATTTATTTATCACTAGCCATCCCCTGCCATGCATTGCTGTGGCTCAGTCTGGTGATCTGGAAAATAAAGAAATGGTTTATAATATGTGTAATTTCTTTATGCTTGTGGGTAAACAGTATTCCTTGTTTCTTTGTCAGTGTTGATGTGGAGAGTGTCTGGTTTGCTACTCTGGAACATGCAACATATCATTGTCCTTTCGGGGTCCCTTTCAAATCTTTGATATTATATCTCTCTTTGTGTGAATCATATATATCTGTCTATATCTATGGCTGATGGCTCTTTATCAGGAGGGCTTGGATTATGTTTTCTTGCCCTGGTGAAGGGAGTTGGAATGGATGGCCTTAAGTATTTTCTGTTGTATTGTTGAAGGCTTTAATGGCCGGAATCACTGGGTTGTTGTAGTTTTTTTTGGCTATATGATCATGGTCTAGAGGCATTCTCTCCTGATGTTTCACCTGCATCTATGGCAAGCATCCTCAGCTCACTACGTCTGAGGATGCTTGCCATAGATGCAGGCGAAATGTCAGGAGAGAATGCCTCTAGACCATGGCCATATAGCCCGAAAAAACTACAACAACCCTATTTTCTGTTGGTCATGGGGGTTCTGTGTGGGAAGTTTGCCCAATTCTGTCATTTGTGGGTTCAGAATGCTCTTTGATTGTAGTGAACTATAAATCCCAGTAACTACAACTCCCAAATGTCAAGGTCTATTTCCCCCAAACCACCTTGTTCATATTTGGACATATGGAATATTGTGCCAAGCATGGTCCAGATCCATCATTGTTTGAGTCCACAGTGGTCTCTGGATGTAGGTGAACTACACTTCCAAAACACACAGTATTTTCTGTTGTCATGGGAGTTCTGTGTGCCATATTTGGTTCAATTCCATCATTGGTGGAGTTCAGAATGCTCTTTGATTTTAGGTGAACTATAAATCCCAGTAACTACAACTCCCAAATGTCAAGGTCTATTTCTAGTTCATATTTGGGCATATGGAATATTTGTGCCAAGTTTGGTTCACATTCATCATTGTTTGAGTCCACAGTGTTCTCTGGATGTAGATGAACTACAACTCTCAATAGCCTTCTAGTCTTTTCCGTTGGTCATGGGACTCCTGTGTGTCACCTTTAGTTCAATTCCATCATTGGTGGCGTTCAGAATGCTCTTTGATTGTAGGTGAACTATAAATCCCAGTAACTACAACTCCCAAATGTCAAGGTCTATTTCCCCCAAACTCCATCTGTGTTCATATTTGGGCATATGGAATATTTGTGCCAAGTTTGGTCCACATCCATCATTGTTTGAGTCCACAGTGTTCTCTGGATGTAGGTGAACTACAACTCTCAATACCCTTCTAGTCTTTTCCGTTGGCCATGGGAGTCCTGTGTGTCACATTTGGTTCAATTCCATCATTGGTGGAGTTCAAATGCTCTTTGATTGTAGGTGAACTATAAATCCCAAGAACTACAACTCCCATATGACAAAATAAAAAAACTTTGACTGGAGGACATACATTGGGTTGTTAGGTGTATGCTGTCCAAATTTGGTGTCAATTCGCCCACCGGTATTTGAGTTCTGTTAATCCCACAAATTAACATTACATTTTTATTTATATAGATGTCAGAAGCAAATTGAGAATAGAGTTATAGTGTATAGAAAAACCACAAACAAAACTAAAAACTTGGCATTATGCTACATTTCCTTTGACCAGAAGCTGGCCACTTGGAGTGCCTCTGGTGTCGCTGTGAGAAGGTCATTTTGGGGGCATTTTGTAGTATTGGCACATATCTAATGAGATACCTTGGAGATGGGATCTAAGTCTAAAAATGAACTCCCAAACATGGCACATAGGACACCCATGACTAACTGAAAATACTAGAAGGGTTTGGTGTACATTGACGTTGAGTTTGAGAGTTGTAGTTCACCTACATCCAAGGAGCACTGTGGACTCAAACAATGATGGGTCTGGACCAAACTTGGCACTAATATTTCATAGGCCCAACTAGGAACACAGATGGAGTTTGGGAAAATAGACTTTGACATTTGGGAGTTGTAGTTGCTGTGATTTATAGTTCACCTACAATCAAAGAGCATTCTGAACTCCACCAATGATGGAATTGAATCAAACTTGGCACACAGGACTCCCATGAACAACCAAAAATACTAGAAGGGTTTGGTGTACATTGACGTTGAGTTTGAGAGTTGTAGTTCACCTACATCCAAGGAGCACTGTGGGCTCAAACAATGATGGGTCTGGACCGAATTTGGAACTAATATTCCATAGGCCCAACTAGGAACACAGATGGAGTTTGAGGGAAATAGACCTTGAAATTTGGGAGTTGTAGTTACTGGGATTTATAGTTCACCTACAATCAAAGAGCATTCTGAACTCCACCAATGATGGAATTGAACCAAACTTGGCACACAGAACTCCCATGACCAACAGAAAATACTGAAAGGGTTTGGTGGGCACTGACCTTGAGTTTTGGAGTTGTAGTTCACCTACATCAGAGAGCACTGTGGACTCAAACAATGATGGATCTGCCGACATCCTCTCTGGCCATTGAGAATAAAGCCTCTGATCAGGGGTGGCTCAACCCATTATGCAAAGTAAGCATTTGCAGTTTAGTTGATTTTGCCCAGGGGCGCTCTTGAGTCACTCTTGGGGGAAAATAGACCTTGACATATGCGAGTTGTAGTTACTGGGATGTATAGTTCACCTACAATCAAAGAGCATTCTGAACTCCACCAATGATGGAATTGAACCAAATATGGCACACAGAACTCCCACAACGAACAGAAAATATATATCAGTTCTAGAGGCATTTTCTCCTGACGTTTCGCCTGCATCTATGGCAAGCATCCTCAGAGGTAGTGAGGTCTATTGGAACTAGGAAAGTGGGTTTATATATCTGTGGAATGACCAGGGTGGGGCAAAGAACTCTTGTCTGCTGGAGCTAGGTGTGAATGTTTCAACTGACCACCTTGATTAGCATTTGATGGCCTGGCAGTGCCTGGGGCAATCTTTTGTTGAGAGGTGATTATATATCAGTGATTGGTTGGTGGGGGTGTGTGTGTGTGTGTGCAAAATACTGTTTGCTTACAGTTGAAAATTACCTAGGGCCGCCTCTGGGCGCAGCTAGGAACCCTAACCCATCTAAAATGCAGACATGTGCTTTTCATTTTCAAAACAGACAAGCATCTCGAGCTCTGAGGGTTACCTGGGAAGGAACCCCACTGGAGCATTGCAGCACACCCAAATGCCTGAGAGTTACCCTGGACTGTGACATCTCCAGCCCATCCTCTGTTCAGATATCAGCCAGCACACCAATGACTTAAACCAAGAAACAGTTTTCTAAGATCTACAGGAACACTTCAGCAAGTGAGAGTCCAAAAGTGGCAGGCTAAAACCCAGAACCTCAAGCTGTGACTAGTAATGCTGCAGAATTTGAAGAGGCACGAATGGAGGACAAAAGTCACCCCGAAGGGGGCTCAGGGTGGAGCACAGCATATATATGGCAAACATTCAATGCCGGGACACAAATTCTTATGTACATACATCAACATTAAAAAAAATATCAAAATATTAAAATACACCATTTAAAACCATCCTAATTGGCCTGGTCATCTTTCCTATTGCTGCTTTATTGCCCTGTCCCAACACTGATGGAGCTTGGGGAAAATAGACCTTGACATTTGGGAGTTGCAGTTGCTGGGATTTATAGTTCACCTAGAATCGAAGAGCATTTTGAAACCCCCCAACAATAGAATTGGGACATATTCCCAATGCTTGGTCCCACAGCCAAGTTTTGACCCTCCTTCTAAAGGACAGGAGAGAGGGGGCCGACCCTCTCTAAGGGAGTTCCATAGCCGGGGAGCAATCAACCCCGCATGCTTCCCCGCTGTTGTCAACCTTTGCAACCCGAAAGACAGTTGCATCTGTCAAGTAGGAAAATTAGGTACCACCTTAAAAAGTGTGGGGAGGCTAAATTAACTGATTTATGAGGCCATAAGGAAGACTCCAGCAAAGCATTCCAGCGGGGAAGCATGCGGGGAATGCGGAAGTACTTCATCAGCGTCGCAGATGGACGATGAAAGCGACAGCTCCCCTGGCGGCCAGAAAAAGTTAAATAGCCTCTGTGTATGTCTGTATATGTTGTATGTCAAATTGGCATTGAATGTTTGCCATATATGTGTACACTGTAATCTGCCCTGAGTCCCCTGCGGGGTGAGAAGGGCGGAATATAAAAGCTGTAAATAAATAAGTTTGGGGAAAATAGACCTTGTCATTTGGGAGTTGTAGTTGCTGGGATTTATAGTTCACCTACAATCAAAGAGCATTCTGAACTCCACCAACGATGGAATTGAACCAAACTTGGCACACAGAACTCCCATGACCAAAAGAAAATACTGGAAGGGTTTGGTGGGCATTGACCTTGAGTTTTGGAGTTGTAGTTCACCTACATCCAGATAGCACTGTGGACTCAAACAATGATGGATCTGGACCAAACTTGGCATGAATACTCAATAGGCAAATCTGAGCACTGGTGGAGCTTGGGGAAAATAGACCTTGACATTTGGGAGTTGCAGTTGCTGGGATTTATAGTTTGCCTACAATCGAAGAGCATTTTGAAACCCCCCAACAATAGAATTGGGACATACTTCCCACATAGAATTCCCACGATGAACAGAAAATACTGGAGGGATTTGGGATGAATTGACAGTGATTTAGGGGAGATGTAGTTTACCTACATCCAGAGAGCACTGTGAACCCAAACAGTTATGCCAAAGGGATTCCTAAGACCATCAGAAATATGTGTTTTCTGATGGTCTTCGCCGACCCCTCTGAAACCCTCTCACGACCCACCCCCCAGGGGTCCCAACCCCTAGGTTGAGAAACACTGATCCAGAGCGATGGGTACAATAAGAGTGCCCAAAGCAGGTTCATCCTTACCTGTCATGTTGTGCAAGTGTCTGTAGGAGATGCCGGCGCACAGCTTGAAAGTAGCTGGCAGCATCTTCACACCGGTCTTTTTGAAGCTGTCAGGGATCCTTGGGCTTGACTCTCTCTCCGAGCCTCTCGTTTGTGCAGTGAAGGCAAAGGCTGATATCCTTCGGCGGCCTTAAATACACCAGATGAAGGATGCTGGTTTGTCAGCAGAGAGATAAGAAAAGGCATCATTTATGGCTGACGTCAAGGCCAAACCTCATGAGCTGGGAGGAGGTGAAATGGGGGAGGCGTGCATCACAGAAGGGGAAGCCCCAGGAGAGAGAAAGTCTTGGGTCACAGCAGCACCACATTTAGAACACTGCCCGTTGTTTTCCAAACAGCTCCATGATGATAAGCATGTCCAGTATTGGGATGCTTACCCTTCGTGTCTTACTAGCAGACTGCTTTGTTAAACTATAGTTAACTTTCCACATTTCCTGGGGTTAGAGGCACAGAACCCCTACAAAAGTGGGGAAACTATTTGAATCTGTAGGAATCTGTAGGACTTTCAGTGCAATTCTATGGCCAACATTTGTTAGAAGTGGGTTGCTGGGATTTTTTTTCAGGCTGGCCATGTTCCAGCAGCATTCTCTCCTGTCGTTTTGCCTGCATCTGTGGCCGGCATCTTCAGAGGTCTCTTGGTGGTGAGGCAAGTGGAGAGTATAATATACCTTTGGAATAATGTCCAGAGTGGGAGAAAGAACCCTTGTCTGTTTGAAGCAAGTGTGAATGTTGCAGTGAGCAAGCTGGATGTCAGGTGGTGCGATACCGGCTAAGCAGTGTAATTTCTCCAGTGGTGTAGGGCACAGACACCCCGTGATAATGCGGCATGTCTCGTTAAGAGCCACATCCACTGTTTTAGCATGGTGAGATGTGTTCCACACTGGGCATGCACTCAGCAGCAGAGTAGCATAGCGCAAGGGCAGATGTCTTCACTGTGTCTGGTTGTGATCCCCAGGTTGTGCCAGTCAGCTTTCGTATGATATTGTTTCTAGCACCCACTTTTTGCTTGATGTGCAGGCAGTGCTTCTTGTAGGTCAGAGCACGGTCCAGAGTGACTCCCAGGTATTTGGGTGCGCTGCAATGCTCCAGTGGGATTCCTTCCCAGGTGATCTTCAGAGCTCTGGATGCTTCTCTGTTCTTGAGATGAAAGGCACATGTCTGTGTTTTAGATGGATTGGGGATCAGCTGGTTTTCCCTGTAATAGGCAGTAAGAGCACCTAGAGCTTTGGAGAGCTTCTGCTTGATCATTTTGACATCCGCTCGGAAGTAGCAGCCAATAGTGAAAGGACCAAGGCAGAGACATCTCCAGCTCATCCCCTGTTTGGGTATCAGCCAGCACGTCAACGACTAAATCTAGAAATAGTTTTCTAAGATCTACAGAGACACTCGCTGGAACACCTCAGCAAGCGAGAGTCCAAAAGTGGCAGGCTCAAACCCAGAACCTCAACCAATGGCTGATACCAAATGAGAGACTCCCCCTGGGCACACAGAAGACTGGGCGACTTGGAAGGCACTGAACAGACTGCGCTCTGTCACCACGAGATGCAGAGCCAACCTTCAGAAATGGGGCCACAAAGTGGAATCCACGACATGAGTGTGGAGAAGAGCAAACCACTGGCCACCTGCTGCAATGCAACCTGAGCCCTGCCACATGCACAATGGAGGACCTTCTTGCAGCAACACCAGAGGCACTCCAAGTGGCCAGATACTGGTCAAAGGACATTTAATCAACTACCAAACTCACAAATTTGTATTTTGTCTGTTTGTTTGCTTTCTTCTGTTAGAAATGTAATATAATTTGACTGGTTGACCTGACACGACAAATAAATAAATAAACCTCCTCTGCCAAAGAGTTGTGGTGCTTCCTCTGCTTTGGAGGTGTTCACTGGAAGTTTGATGGCTTGCTGCCTGGAGTTGTCCTGTTTTTGAGTGTTGTTCTTTATTTACTGTCTTGTTTTTGTTGTTTTTTTAAATACTAGTGACCAGATTTTGTTCATTTTCATGGTTTCCTCTTTTTTGTTAAAATTGTCCACGTGCTTGTGGATTTCAATAGCTTCTCTGTGTGGTTTGGAATGATGGTTGTCACAATAGTCCAGCATTTCTGTGTTCCCAGATAATATTATGTGCCCTGGTTTGTTTATCAAGGGTTCTTTCTCCCACCCTAGACATTCCACAGATTAACAACAACAACAACAACAACAACAACAACAACAACAACGGGTTGTTGTGTGTCTTCTGGGCAAAAAGTCAGAAGACAATGCTACTGAAACATGGCCATACAGTCCAAAAAACTCACAGCAACCCAGTGATTCTGGCCATGAAAGCCTTCGACGACACATTTGCTATAAGCTGCCAGCCTATCTTCCCTCGTAAGGTTGTTGCGATAGTAAAAGATAAGAAGAGTGTGACCCTACATAACTTGGAACTCATTACAGGAAGATTTATTTGTTATTTATTTATTTACTTATTATATTTGTATTTATTTACTTATTATATCCCTTCTCAGGCAACTCAAGGCAGTTAACAGAAGCAACAATTCAATGTCCAACAGCACCATAAAACATTTAAAAACGTTAATATATAATATAAAACCATAACAAGATCAATAAGACACCATAAAAACATTTAAAAGCATTGACATAAATCATAATTTTTTGAGTGATGGTCACTCCTTGTGCTGTGAGACGTTTTGTTGCCAAATTTGATGTGATTTCGTTCATTGGTTCTTTTGTTTTTAAGGTACTCATTATGCACAGAGCATATATATATATATATATATATATATATATATATATATATATATATATATATATATATATATATATATATATATATATATGCTCTGTGCATAATGAGTACCTTAAAAACAAAAGAACCAATGAACGAAATCACACCAAATTTGGCAACAAAACGTCTCACAGCACAAGGAGTGACCATCACTCAAAAAATTATGATGCTCTGTGCATAATGAGTACCTTAAAAACAAAAGAACCAATGAACGAAATCACACCAAATTTGGCAACAAAACGTCTCACAACACAAGGAGTGACCATCACTCAAAAATTATGATTTTGTCATTTGGGAGTTGTAGTTGCTGGGATTTATAGTTCACCTACAATCAAAGAGCATTCTGAACTCCACCAATGATGGAATTGAAGCAAACTTGGTACACAGAACTCCCATGACCAACAGAAAATACTGAAAGGGTTTGGTGGGCATTGACCTTGAGTTTTGGAGTTGTAGTTCACCTACATCCAGAGAGTACTGCAGACTCAAACAATGATGTATCTGGACCAAACTTGGCACAAATACTCAATATGCCCAAATGTGAACACTGGTGGAGTTTGGGGAAAATAGACCTTGACATTTGGGAGTTGTACTTGCTGGGATTTATAGTTCACCTACAATCAAAGAGCATTCTGAACCCCACCAATGACAGATAGAATTGGGGCAAACTTCCCACACAGAACCCTCATGACCAGCAGAAAATACTTAAGGCCACCCAATCAAACTCCCTTCATCAGAGCAAGAAAACGTAATCAAAGCCCTCCTGACAAAGAGCCATCCAGCCATATATATATATATATAGAGAGAGAGAGAGATGATTCACACACACACAGATACAGTATCATAGATTTGAAAGGGACCCTTAAAAAAAGACACTGATATGTTACACATTCCAGGGTGGACAAACCAGACACTCTCCACATCAACACTGACACAGAAACAGCAAGAAATACTGTTTACTCAAAAGCATAAAGACATTACATATATTAGAAACTAACACTTTCTCGTTACTTTATTTTCCAGATCAACAGACTGGGCCACAGCAACGCGTGGCAAGGGACAGCTAGTATAATATAAAACCATGACAAGATCAATAAGATACCATAAAAAACATTTAAAACATTTAACAACATTGACATCTATATACATAAAAATGCAATGTTCGTTTGTGGGATTAACAGAACTCAAAAACCACTGGAAGAATTGAGACCAAATTTGGACACAAGACACCTAACAACCCAATGTATGTCCTTCACTGAAAAAAATGATTTTGTGATTTGGGAGTTGTAGTTGATGGGATTTATAGTTCACCTACAATCAAAGAGCATTCTGAACCCCACCAATGATGGAATTGAACCAAATGTGGCGCACAGTTCTCCCATGACCAACAGAAAATACTGGAAGGATTTGGTGGGCGGTGTCCTTTGGTTTTGGAGTTGTAGTTCACCTACATCCCGAGATCACTGTGGACTCTAACAATGATGGGTCTGGACCAAATTCTGCACGAATACGCAATATGCCCAAATATGAACACTGATGGGGTTTGGGGAAAATAGAATCTTGACATTTGGGAGTTTGTAGTTGCTGGGATTTATAGTTCACCTACAATCACAGAGCATTCCGAACCCCACCAACGATAGAATTGGGCCAAAACTCCCACACAGAACAGCCATGTGAGCCACAGCAACGTGTGGCAGGAGACGGCTAGTATAATATAAAACCATAACAAGATTGGAGTATATGTGTAAATAGTAAATAGAGTTGGCCCTTTGCATTCAGGAATTCTGCATCCACAGATTCGGACAGCTTGAAAATATATACTTAAAATTCCAAAATGCAAACTCCGATTTTGCCATTTTACATAAAGGACACCATCTTGCTACACCTTTGTATATACTTCGATTTGAGCACCAATGGATTTTAGTATCCACCGCAGGATCATGGAATGAATTCAATATATATATGGAAAATAAGAGTTCATGTACACCAGGCATAGGCAAACTTGGACCTTCTGAGTGTTTTGGACTCCAACTCCCACAATTCCTAACAGCCTCAGGACCCTTCCTTTTCCCCCTCAGCCGCTTAATTGGAGTGCAAAACACCTGGAAGGTCCAAGTTTGCCCATGCCTGATCTACACTGTCAAATTAATGCAATTTGATGCCACTTGAGTTGTTTGCAATGGCTCAATGCTACCAAGTCACAGGAGTTGTAGTTTTGCAAGGTCATTAGCCTTCTCTGCCTTCCCTCACCAAGCTCCACATCAAAGGATTACATAGCACTGAGTCAAGTGAGACAAAGTGGTGCCAAACCACATTCATCCTTCAGTGTAGATACACCCCCTACTGAACTAGAGAGACCATCTCAATGACCCAATTTACCAAGTGCTATTTGAGATCCCAA